TGTTTCTCTGTGTCATGATAGATCTCAATTGAGCGGCGGTGGCCGGCCTAAGGGCCGGCGTGCAACAGCACTCGCCACCGCATGGCTCCCCATGCACTGGGGGCCCTCCCACCGGGGGTCTATGAGGCAGGAAGCTAGTCAGCCAGAAGACCGGTGCTCCCTGCCCGTGGTGCCCCATGCACCCGGGACCCTCCCTCCGGGAGCCTACTAGGCAGGAAGCTAGCCAGCCGGAAGACCAGCGTTCCCCGCCTGTGGCTCCCTGTGCGCCGGAAGCCCTCCTTCAGGGGAACTATGAGGCCGGGAGTGAGCCGCCGACTGGCGCTCCCCGCCCGAGGCTCCCCGTGCGCCCGGGGGTGGTTCCCTTTTCTTTACATCCTTGGCAGCACTTGTTACATTGAATCTCTCAAAATCACAGCCATTTTCACTGGAGTGAGGTGATATCTCATTGAAGTTTTAATTTGTATTTTCTGAATGATTAGTGATACTGAGCATTTTTTCATACACTTGTTGCCCATTGGTATGTGTTGTTCTCTCCCCCGCCCCCTTTTTTAAACTCATTATGTATCCCAGGCTGGCCTTGAACTTGTAGTGATCCTCCTGCCTCAGCCTCCCAAGCTCTGGGATTACAGGTGTGCGCCACCACACCCAGCTGCTATTGAGCTTTAAATTCTTTGTTCATTCTGGCTCTTTGTCAGATGTATGGTTTGTAAATATTTTCTCCTGTTCTATTTTGTCTCTTTAATAATTGTTTCCTTTGCTGAACAGAAGCTTTTTAAAAAACTGTCATATAATCTCATTTGTCTGTGTTTGCTTTTAGTTTCTGAGTCTTTACGGTGTTGTTCAAAAAAAATTTTGGTCCAGTGTCCTGGGGCAAGTGTTTTCTATATATTTCCTTCTGGTAGTTTCATAGTTTATATTTAAGTCTTTAATCTATTTTGAGTTGATTCTTGTAACTGGGAGGAGAGAAGGGTCGAGTTTCATTCTTCTGCATATACATATCTCAGTTTCCCCTATCATTTATTGAAAAGACTATTTTTTCTACTCTGTATGTTCTTAGCATCTTTGTCAAAGATAAATTATAGATGTGTGAGTTTGTTTCTAAGCTCTGTACTCTGTCCCTTTGGTGTGTTTTTGTGCCACTACTGTACTGCTGTGATTACTATAGGTTTGTGTATGCTTGCGTGTGTGTATGTGCGTGTATGTTTATTTTTTTCTTGGTGCTAGGAATTGCACCCAGGGCCTTCCCACTGAGCTGCATCCTTGGGTCTATTTTTAATTTATTAATTTATTTTATTTTACTTATTTTGGTTTTTAGAGACAGGGTCTTTCTGTGTAGTTCAGGTTGGCCTTAAACTTGCGGAAATCCTTCTGTCTCAGCTACCTGAGTGCTGGGATTATAGGGATACATTACCATGTCTGGCTTACTTTTTAAATTTTGAGACAGGATCTTGCTAATTTGCCCGGGCTGGGCTCCAACTGTTACAAAAAAATTCGGGCTGTATTCCACAAGAGACCAAAGAGAACAGACAAAGTTTTAATTTAGACTGCTTACCTCTCATCCCAACTTGCAAGTCAGGGAAGTGGGCGTGGACCTGTCTTTGTTCCCAGCTTATATACATTTTTGGTTTCCTTGGTAACAGATTGGAATGTTGTAGCCCTGGCCACATGTTGTTTTCCTTGTGCCATCTAACCAGGTCAGGCTCCGGTCATGAGCCCAACCACAGTGATATATACTTTCTGTACTCTGTTCTATATGTCCCCTTTTAGATAGCCATACATTTCCTTTATGGTTACAATGTTTATCTAGGGCCAGGGAAGGGATGAGACAACCCAGGCAGGGTCATAGGTGGTTATCTGGGCCCTGGTGTTCTTTGTCTTTGGAGAAACATTCCAGGGCTAAGTCAGGACTGCAAAGTTAACTCTTTACAACCCTCTGAGATGTTTCTCAAGACACATTTTGAGGCTTGCATTAAGACTAGAATTATTCTATCATTAAATGATATGCTAAGAGTCATCATCCCCTACACAACTTTCTTTTTTTTTTGGTTTTTCTCCAGTACCGGGAAAAGTAATGATAATAATTGATACCAATTTCTTTCTTTCTTTTTTTTTTTTTTTTTTGGTGCCGGGAATTGAACTCAGGACATTGTGCTTGCCAGGCAGGGGCTTGTGCCGCTGAGCTATATCCCCGGCCCTCCCTACACAACTTTCTAACCCCCTGGTTTTGTCTCCCAGAGTATTGGGATTACAATTGTGTGCCACTTACATCCAGCATTGTAGTATATTTTGAAGTGAGGTAATATTGTAATGCCTACTGTTTTGTTGTTCTTGCTTAGGATTGCTTTGACTATGCAGGGTATCTTGTGGTTCCTTACAAACTTTAGGATTTTCCCCCTAATTCTGTGGAGATGGTCTTTTTGAGACAGGGTCTCATTATGCAGTTCAGGCTGGCTTTGAGCTCACCTTGTAGCCCAGGCTTGTCTTGAACTCACAGTGATCCTCCTGCCTCAGCCTCCCAAGTGCTGGGATTACAGGCGTGCTCCACCACGCCCAGCCTGATTTTTTTTTTAAAGCGCATGAAAAAAAGGAAGAACAATAACAAGATGCCAACAACATAGACAAAAACAAAACAAAACAAAAACAATAAGAATGGTACGGGGTTTCAGAATAAAATGATAGGGATTAACAGCGGTTGTTATATTACATATTGTTATCTTCAACGAAGTTGCTCAGATTACCAGATGTAAGAATGCAAGATTGATCAAACCATTAAAGAGAATGAAAAATAAAAACAAAAAAATGATGCAGAGTTTCACCAAGCAAGATGATAGGAATTCAACAATGGTTGTTATATTGCACATTGTTGTCTTCAAATTAGTTGTTCAGATTATCAGATATAAGCATGTAAAATTGGTCAAAAAATAAAGCATTAACTGTTTCTTTCAGTGAACCATTAGACATCAGTGTCATCGATATTTTTATAGGAGTTGCACTGAGATCCTTACGTGTTAAAAGGAACACTTTGGGTAACATGGTTATTTTAACATTGATTCTTCAAATCTATGAACATGACCTATCTTTACATTTTTTGTGCCCTCTTTTTTTTTTAATCAGTACTTTATAGTTGTATTGTAAAGCTCTTTCACCTCTTTCCTAGGTTTTTATTTTTACAGTTAGGATTGTAAATGGGATTGTTTTCTTGATTTTGATTTCAGATAACTGACTGCGTACAGCAGTGCTGCTGGTACTTGGTTATTGATTTTTTTTTTTTTTTTTTTTTTTTTTTAAAGACAGGGTCTCACTGTGCAGTTCAGGCTGGCCTTGAGCTCACTTTGTAGCCCAGGCTGGTGTCGAACTCGCAACGATGCTCCTGCCTTAGCCTCCCGAGTGCTGGAATTACAGATATGTGCCATCACATCTGGCTAGTTATTGATTTTGTATTTTGAAACTTGGTTAATCATCTGTTCTAAAACTTTTTTGGTGGCATATGAGGTTCTCTTTATGAGATCTTGTCATCTGCAGACTGGTAGTTTGACTTCCTCTTTCCCAATTTGGGAAAGCATTCTTTTTCTTTCTCTTGCTGGATTGGTGTGGTTGGTATTTCCAGTACTGTGTGGTATAGAAGTGTGAAAGTGGTCATCTTTGTCTTGTTCTGTGTCTTAGAAAGTGGACTGCATTTTCCCAGGAATAAATATCTTAGAATGGTAATGATTTTATGAACAGTGACACTTACTAGCCTTTTTCCCTAGAAGTAGCAACAAGTCGTGCCTTTGTTCCTTTTTATTAGATTAGTCTTTATGTCATAGCTTAGTTTTTACTGTTTGAAGAAAAAACTATTTTTAGGCTTTCTGCTAAGTAAATAGCAACAGTAAATTTAGTTTCTTGGTCATTGTGTGTTTGGGGGCTACATATGCTTAATGAAAGTTCCAGAGTGATTCAGTCTGTTCTCCTTTTCTCCCAAGGCTCTGTGCCTGCTGAGCGTATCATTGATAGCATAGGGCAGGGAGAATATGCATGCCAGTAAGGAAGCTATTCTAGAGCAGCTGGGGCTGGGACTGTTGATTTTTGTAGTGAGCCTGTGATTTTTCTTAATCTGTATCTTACCTGCCTTTTTTTTTCTTTAAAGCTTTTTTCCTTTGTGTATTTTTAAGTGGCATCTTGGTGGGACTTTGAAGAATATGGAAGTACCATCCTGTTTTATTTAACAAAATAAAATATTTAGTATTGAGGGCTGAAGATGGAGTTCAGCACTATAACATATACCTAGCATGTGTGAGGCCCTGGGTTCAATCCCTAGTACTTTGGGGAGAAAAATTAACATTGAATGAAAAATTTTTACATTTGCTAAACACATTTTTCTTTTCTGCTTTGACAGCGATGTTATGAACACAAGCAGTATAGAAATGGGTTGAAGTTCTGTAAGCAGATTCTTTCTAATCCCAAATTTGCAGAACATGGAGGTAAGTAGAATGCTGCATGTGCACTGGCTGCGTGACCAGAGAGGGCTGTATTGCACCCCTGTCTGGCTTCTCTAACTGGGCTCTGTTACTCACCTGCACTTTATACAACGAGTAACCTTTTTTCTTTCCTGAAAACTTAGTGTTTCCCACAACTCTTTTAATCTATTGATTGCAAATGACAGATTTTTGATATTTTTTCTTTCATATTTAATAGTAACCTCAGTCATTTTAAAATAGATATATTTTTAAATTTGGTGCTGGGAATCAGACTCAGGACCTTGAGCTTGCCAAGGCAAGTGCTGTGCCACTGAGCTATATTCCTGGCCCCAAAATAAATTTACAAAGCTCAGGTATGTAGGTAATTTTATGTTCTAAGCAGGAGAGGAATTTAACCTTCATTTAACTTAGATTCACAGAAATAAAGTCTGATTTCAAGAAACTTTTTCATATTTTGAAAGAATAATTACATAAGGTCATTCCGTATAACTCACTTAAGAACAGTTAATTATATATTATCAGTATATGAATTACTAGATTATCTGTTTTTGAAGAGTAGGAAGAATTTATTGAGAGAAAAACCTTCCATCTAAGGGAGACAGAAGGGGACCTAGAAAATGAGTAGTTCCATTACTAGATTATCTTGCTTGTCAGATGTGCATGTATTTTGTATGTTTAGTCTAAAAAAAAATCTAGCTTGCTTCCAAGAATAGAATCTAGAAATGTATGCTGCTTGGTTTGCCAATTTCAACCACTTAACAGTTTATCCCAAGTGTCACATAGGCAGTGTATTTGTTTAGTACTGATTATCTGGGTCTTCTCTTGGGCAGGTGTCATTTCAACCCATTGATTATTTTTTTTTTTTTTTAACATAGCAAGATCTTCCAATCAGATTTTATTGGTAAATTTTAGATATACATAATGGTCACATTCATCATAGAGAACTTGTACCTGTACATGATATAACTTGTTGTCAACCAGTTGATTCTTAGTATGGAATAAATTTTTTTTTTTTTTTTTTTTGTGGTACTGCGGAACAGACTCATGACCTTGCTCTTGCCAGGCAGGCGCTTATGCCACTGAGCTATATCCCCAGCCCCTGTATGGAATAAATTAGATAAAATTGTCTTTATATTACCTTATAAAATTAATGAAAAATATGTAATTTTTCGTCATCCTATATTTAAATAATTGGACTAGGAAGTGGTTTAAAAGTACTTGAATTCTGTATAAAGCTGAAAATGTCCTGGTAAGCTCCTTGAAATGAAGTATTTAATTCTTAGCATAAACTGGCATTTACTTTGAGGTTATGGATAATTTTTGTTATTGGTAACTATTTTTATTTTTACTTTATTATTAAAAATAGAAACCCTGGCAATGAAAGGATTAACATTGAACTGTTTGGGAAAAAAGGAAGAAGCTTATGAATTGGTTCGTAGAGGTTTGAGAAATGACTTGAAGAGTCATGTGTGTATCCTTTTTAAATATGTTTGTAAGTATTGAGTGGGGTTTTTTGAGCCAAGGGAGCAATTTGGCAGTCAGAAGTTTTATTTTATTTATTCGTGTGTGTGTTTTGTTGTTTTGTTTTGTTTTTGAGACAGGGTCTCACTATATAGTGCAGGCTGGCCTTGAACTCACGGTGTTGCCCACACTGGCCTCGAATGTAAGGCAATTTCCTGCCTCTGCCTCTTGGGTGCTTGGAATTACAGGTATGCACCACCATGCCCAGCAGCAGTCAAGTTTTAGATCCCTCTTACAGTGCAATTACAGAGGAAATTATTTTTCTTCAATTGAACAGCCACTGCCTTCATTCAGGTAACACTTGTTTTAACAATGCATATGTCTCAGACAAATGGGACTTGCTTTTTAAAAATATCTGAACCAAGTATGGTGGCACATGCTTGTAATCTCATCACTCTGGAGGCCAAGGCAGAAGGGTTGCTTTGAGTTCAGGGCCCACCCTGGGCTAAATATTGAGTTCAAGAGTGGCCTGGGTTACATAGCAATATCCTGTTTCAAAAAACAAAAACAAGCCAGGCATGGTGACATGCCTATAATCTTTAACACTCAGGAAGCTGAGGCAGAAGGATAACCTTGACGCAAGGCCAATCTGTGCTACATAGGGTGACCCTGTTGGAGGGAGGGAGAGAGGAAGGAAAGAAGGCAGGCAGGCAGGCAGGTAGGCAGAGAGGGAGGGAGGAAAGAAACAAAGAAGGAGAATGCAGGCAGGCAAACTGTGCAAGCTCTGTTGACTCTTTAGGAAAAGGAAAGTATTTTATGGTCTGAATTTTTATGACTTCCTGAAATCATATCTTGAAACCTCATCACCAATGTAATGATTTTGGGAGGTTTAGGATGCTAGGATAGAGACTTTGTGAATGAGATTGACCCCCCTTATAAAAGAGGGCTACAGAAATGTGTTTGACCCCAGTCATACGAGGACAAAGGTAGAACATACCATTTCTGAGATAGTCAATCTGCTGACACCTTGATCTAGAACTTTCTCACTTCCTGAACAATGAACCACAAATTTCTGTTGTTTCTAAATTGCCCAGTCATACATTTTTTGTTATAGCACCTTTGCAGGTCTAACACAGCCATCATGCAGATTTCATATAACCATAACTTCAGACAAGGCTATATAAGGAGTAGGAGAGAAGTATTAAGTGTACGGTTCAGAGCACAGACTTTGGAGTGGAGGCTTGGAGTGAAATGTACTTCACTTAGATTCGAAATCCAGGTCAGCTTCTTTGTGCTCTTAAGGGCTCATTCTTATTATGTATAAAAAAGGGATAGTCCTATATTTTTGTACCTATTTTTGTGGGTAACACAGTTTAAGAGCAGAAGCATTTAGAATGTTTTCAGATGTTTCCTGGGCCTCTACTGCTTTAAATATGAAGAGAACAGTACAGATTTTGCTTTCCAGAAACTTAACAGTCCAGTAAAGGAAGATAATAGAAACATGTACAGAATATTTTTGAGTGTTGTATTAAAATGTTTTGAGTGGTCAGAGAATTGTCATTAATTCAGAAAGTAGAAGTTTGAATTGGAAGGGTAGTGTTTCTGAGATTTTTAAAACGATCTCTCAACCAGCTGGGAGGATTTTTTTCAAGCTTTACTTTGTCATTTATGTTGTAAACAAGTTTAGTTTTCAGTTAATATTTATAATACTTAGTATGTATTTTTAGTTATATATGCCATCGTAGACATTCTGTAGTTTATGGACTGTTGAGGACCCCACGCCAAACCTGTAGCTAGAAGTTCGTGCCAATCTGAGAGAGACATTGTAAATTTCTAGAAAGGGAAGTGGAAATGTTTTTTCCATTTGATTATGTGTTTTAGAAAGATTACCTTGGTGGAATAAAATGAAAAGAGACCTAAGGTGGTAGGATTGAGTGACTGTTGTAATTAATTTAGATCTACAATAAAAAAAAAAAAAGGCTTATATTAGGGGATTAGAAAGTAAAATATATATATTTTTTTACAACCTGGTATCATTTTGCTTATTTATCTGTGTCCTTAAGTTCTTTAAACATGAGACTTTTGGTCACTTATACCCTAGGAATTGTAAGTAATTATTTGTTTCGATAAATGAATATTTTACTTTCTATGTAGGTAGGTTCTAGGGCCCTTGTACCATGCCCAGGACTGTCTAAAAGGCTTGTTAGCCAAAGAAAATGCCTACCTGATACTGAGCATTTACTTTGTAGCAGCCAGTGAAGACTTATCCCATTGAGTCATTCCTGCGGGACTTTACTGTATGGACTATTTCTGTGGTGTTTCTTTGTTTTTTTTTTTTTGGGCGGGGAGACTCACTACACAGCCCAGGCTGGCCTCAGACTCACGACAGTCCTTTTACCTCAGCCTCTCAAGTGCTGGAATTACAGGTGTGTGCCACCACACCCAGCTGGACTATTTCTTAACAAGACTAACTTCTGTAAGGTTACAGAGTTCCTAAGATAGACTTGACTTAATTTTCTCTGGTTCTACAAATTGTGCTGTTTTCTACTGTATTAAACTCCCTTTTACCACCCCAGCCCCCTTGGTACTGGGGATTGAACCCAGCCTTAGCCCTGAACCACACCCATCACTGGCCCTTTTTTAATTTTGAGTCAGGGTCTCTCTACATTGCCCAAGCTGGACTCACTTCCAGTTCTCCTGACTCCCATCTCCCAGGGTCCTGAGACTGTGAAATTCAGTCATGGTACAGGCATGTTGCCACCGTGCCTAGCACCCCTCCCTGCCAACAAGTTCTTAATTTTATAGATGGTTCTAGTTCTGCACACTTCCTAGGACATCATTTGGAATAGTATTTCTTGATTATAGGTTGTATCCTTAACTAAATTCTTTAGGTTGGCATGTTTATGGCCTTCTTCAGAGGTCAGACAAAAAGTATGATGAAGCCATTAAGTGTTACAGAAATGCACTAAAATGGGATAAAGACAATCTTCAAATCTTAAGGGATCTTTCTTTACTACAAATTCAAATGCGAGATCTTGAGGGCTACAGGGTAAGTGAAATAAAGAATTTTTTATTCTAAGAAAAAAATAACTCAACGCCTCCTCCAAAGTGTCTGTGATTGGAAAAGTCAGATTTTAAAAATTATTTAGTTGTGAAGATGAATTGGGTTATTGTGTAGGGTTGATTTAAGCAGTTTGTTAAAAACTAAACACTTTGCACATAGACCATGGCTTTGTCTGATATTAACATGCAGCTATAGTGCTTTCTTCCCACATTATCTGGAGAGTAAAGTTTTGTCTTTTTAAATTCATTGAGACTTTTTTTTGGTGGTGCTGGTGATTGAATCTAGGGCTTTGTGTTAGGCAACTGCTCTACCACTAAGCTACATCCCCAATCCAAGGCTAATATGTTTTTGTACCTTCAATTTTAACCCATATGTCAGACTTGAGTTTACCTAGTCTCTCTTTCAAATGCTTTCTTGGTTTTTTGTTGTTGTTTTTTTTTCTTTTTTTTTCAGCAGTACTTGCTGAACTCTTAACTTACTATTTAGGCACTTTGTTTTCTAAATAATTTCGAATGTTTTTCCTTTGTATTATGTTTATCATGTTATCTCTATTCTTAGAGTAGATAGAGAATGAAGAAGGGTATCATAAAATTAGCTTAGAGGTGTCATTGGGTTTCTGAAGAATTTCTTTGCTTCTATAAAACAACACAATATAGGTGTTTGACACTATTTTGTCATTGTTTCCTTGCAAAATGCGTACTGTTGCAGGGTGAATTGATCTGATCTTTTAAAGAAGCATTTGTTTCCACCGTAAACCTAATAAAAAGAACTTTTCCCCCCTCCCTTAAAGGAAACGAGGTATCAGTTACTTCAGCTTCGACCGGCACAGAGAGCATCGTGGATTGGTTATGCTATTGCTTATCATTTATTAGAAGATTATGAAATGGCAGCAAAAATTTTAGAAGAATTTAGGAAAACACAACAGGTAAAACAGTAACAGACCAGTTTATTAGGTCTGATTCTAAAGTATAACTAAAAGAAAAAAATGTGCATTGACTTTTTTTTAAAGATGGTTTCAAACTTAACAGAAAAGTTGCAGGGATAGTACAAAGAATTCCATATACTTACTTATGTGAATATTTGGTACTTATATCTCTATTTAAATTTTCTTAAGGATTTGAGAGTAATTGATTTCAGAGCTTTTTTACTCATGCTTCATTGTTTTCTAAAAATAACTATAATTGTCAGTTGTATAGGTATAGATGATCAAAATTAGGAAATTTTAACATCGATAGACTATTATTATCTAAGGCATAGTCCATATTGAACATTTACATATGGTCCTAGTTATATACTTTCTCGCATATTTCTTCGCCATTTTTAGTATCTGGTTTGAAATAATACTTTGCATGTATGGGGTCATTATTTCTCTTCAGTTTCTTTCAGTTTAAAAGATGTTCTTTGTATTTCATGACATTGATATTTCTGAGCAGCACAAGGCAATGTTTTTGCACAATTTCTCAATTTCAGTTTGATATTTCTTCATTATTAGGTGAAGTTTTGCGTTTTTGGCAGGAAATCACAGATACGATTAGTATTAATTGGTTTTCTATTGTTGTGACAAAATAACTGATGACATTCAACTTAGAGGAGGAAGCGTTTATTTTGGCTCGTGGTTCCAGAGGCTTCAGTCCATGGTCAGCTGTGCCCATTGCTGTAAGCCTGTGACAGGGAACAACATCGTGATGGAGCATAGCAAAGGAAAGCTGCTCATCTCATGGCAGCCAGGAAGTAGGAAGGGTGAGAAAGCCAGTCAGGAAGGGACCAAGAATCAGGTATAGACTCCAAGGTCACATCCTCTAGTCCACTCCAGCTGTGCCTCACCTCCTGTTTCTGCCACCTCCTAAATAATGCCACCAAATTATTATATCATCAATGGATTGATCCATTCGCCAAGTTTGAGCTCTCTTGATCCAGTCACTTCTCAAAAGCTCATCAGCAACCAAGTCTTCAAAATAATGAGACTTTTCAAAGACATACGTCTGAATCATAACAAGGCCCTTCTTAGTTCATCACATGAAGAGGCACATGACTATTTGTTCCATCTGTTTGATTATTACCACACCAGTGTGTTAAGGTTGCATCTGCACCTACAAGTTTGCTTCTGTTTTTCTTTATATTTAATAAGCTATGCAAGACTGAGTAGCTCGTTCCTCATCAAACTTTTACCACGAGTTTTAGCATTCATTGGTTATGATGCTTACCTCTATCAGTGACTACTGTGATAGTTATAAATTGGAGATTCTCTTATTCATTCATCTAGATTTATTATTTTGAATTCTATTAATGAATTTTCCCATGTTTTTGTACTTAAGAATTATTCTTTTATTTGATTGGTTATAAGCAAGTGCTGTGTTTACTTCATAACTCTTTATATAGATACTTTGGAGTTTTTCAAAAAGTCAGTTTATCAATCATGTATTACTGTTGACTTTTAAACATATTTTTGGGTGTGTAAATGTTTTTCCAATAGGAAACCAAAATTTTTACAGTTGGTGTTTCTTATATTTATACACAGACATCCCCTGATAAAGTGGATTATGAATATAGTGAACTACTTTTATATCAAAATCAAGTTCTTCGGGAAGCAGGTCTCTATAGAGAAGCCTTGGAACATCTTTGTACCTATGAAAAGCAGATTTGTGATAAACTTGCTGTAGAAGAAACCAAAGGTATTTTTTAAAGAATGTAATATTAATTTTGAAGGCAGAGAATAAAGCTGAAAAATTATCTAGTTACTGCTGACAGTTGGGTATAATTCATCTTTTTTCTTATGGAAAATAATACTCATACTTTGAGTAATTGTAATGTGGGAAAATAAACATTTAAATATAGGAAGTTCATTGCAAACAAAAATTCATTGAATGAAATTACTTAGTAAATCGTCTTTTTTTGTTTTGTTTCTTTTCTGAGATGGAGTCTCATTATTTTGCCCAGGCTGGCCTCAAGTAATCCTCATGGGCCCAAGTGATACTCCTTTCTCAGTTGGGAGTGTCTGGGGCTGTAGGCACACAACACTGCCTTTCTTAAGCATCCATTCTTTAAATAAAGTATCTTTGCATTGAAAATACTATAGGGTTTGATCAAAACACAAGAAGCAGTTACTAAGTTTTACAAGGCAGGAAGATTAAATGTCTTAGAAACAGCCCATTACCAAATTACAATGTAAGTAGTGTGTGTCAAATTTCTTTATCCTGGTAATACATTATTGACAAATCATTCTTTCCCAAAAAAACATGTAGGAGCCAGGCATAGTGGTGCATGCCTGTAATCCCAGCACTCAGGAGGCTGAGGCAGGAGGATTGCTGCAAGTTTGAGACCAGCTTGGGTTACAAAGTTAGCCCAAGACTGGCCTGAACTGCATAGCAAGACCCTTTATAAAAAACACTAAATAAAATAAAATAAAATAAAATAAAAGTAAAAAACAGGATATTGTAGGGTGTTAATGTGAATGTCTTTGAGAAAATAGAATGTAAATTCTGGAAGGGAAGAAAACAAGATTTGGGTTCATATTTGTGGATTGCGATAAGGAGAAGAATAATCAACTGAAATAGCTGGCAATTTTTAAAAATTTCCATATGAAATGTTTTACCCTTGCTTGTCTAGGAACCTGAAATTTGCTGGTTTCAGATTTCTTTGGCTCACCTTGAAGACGAACACTATAAAAGTATAGAATCTGGGTGCATAGTACATATAGCCATTATTTACCAAGTGAACTTTCACCAAAGGATGATGCTCCACGCAAGTCTAAGGCTTCTGGAGCTCAACTGTAAACTATAAATGAAGGGCAGACCTTTTTGATTTGAATAATCATCTGCTCATAGTCTGTTATTCTTAAAGACAGATCTGACATGGTCATAAATCTTAAGAAATTATTTCATTCATTGGCTGCAAAGTAGCTATAGTATCAGGGGCAAGGCCTGAGTGGGCATAGTTAGGCAAAATGTTTTATTGTGAATTCTGTTACTAATTTCTTTATGGAAGTACATGGCAGTTTTCAAAGTGCTGTTACATACACTTGATTCTGTCCTTTTGATAATTTTAACTGTTTTTAATAATTGTTCCTCATTGTGAGGAACAATGGCAGAGAGGGTCAAGTTAGTTTCAGACTCAGACTTTATTGAAGATTTGTCCTCAGGAACAAAATGTGGTTGTGTGCAAATAGGTGTAGATGTCGGAGGTCTTTGGGCGTTGTCTTCTTGTTGCTCCTATTTTCTACATAAAACAGGATGAAACAAGACCATCTGCTCTTCCTATAAAACAAGTAGTGACTATCTACTTTGCACCAGGATTTGGAGACAAGTGTACAAAGGGAAGGAAATTCAATAAAATCAGTCTTTGGAAATTCTGGCAGGAAAGGGATTGTTGCTTGGAATTGAGGGGAGAGGATGAGATGCTGAAGATCAGCTGGGAACTTTCTGGACTGGATGAGTTAGGCAAAACATTGATTCTCACACTACCTGTTCCCTCTACATGAAAGTGGAGGGAGAAGATGAAGGGGAGGAAATGGGAATGGATGTAGTATGGGGTAGTAAAGTTGGCAGGCTTTTCAGATGTTTTGTGTTTTGTTTTTGGTTTTTTGGTAGTGGGAATTGAACTCAGGACCTTGCGCCTGCCAGGCAGGCACTTGTGTCACTGAACAGTGTCCTTGGCCCTTGTTTTGTGTTTTTCATGGAGGTGGCTTTTGGTTAATACAGAGGAGGCTTGCCAACTTGTCTTGTTGACAGTTTGGCCCTAGTTAGTGGGAATGGAGATCCTTTGTGTGCGCTGTAGGATGCCTAGCAGCATGCCCAGCTTCTAACTAACATGCCAGTAGTGTCTACTGCCCTTCATATAACAATCACAGTGTCTTCAGATATTGCCAAATATAACCTGCTTGAGAACCACTGGTAAAGATGTTAAGATTACAGGTTTTTATAGTTAAATTGCTTGGGTTCAGAGACTCAGCAGGCTCTGAAAGACCCTTCTCAAATTTATTTAAATTCTCTTTATTTTAAAATAATGAAAATAATAGTAAATTATTTTGTAGAATTCTGAGAATTGAGTAAGTTAACACATGGAAACACTTAAAAGTCACTGGGACCTAGTAAGCACGCATTAAATGATCATTATTAATGATCTGATGCGAATGAAGGGTGAACGGTGAAGTAGTGGTCTGAAAATAATAGCTTTGGTGAATGGAAGTGAAGGATGTGGAAAAAAATCCTGAGTAGTGTTTGAAGCTTTCATGACTCTAGGGCTCATATATTTGTCTTGGAAATTACTCTCCACTCATTTGACTTTCTCAGTAAAATGAGGAGAACACAGCAAACTGTTGGAATGATTTAGGTTTTAAAATTGGTAAACAGAGAAGCCTGGTTTGAGATGAATTTTGATGATGGAAGTTCTGATGGCATTTGGGAATGTGATTGGTTATGCACCCAGGGGGAGGCATGTAGCGCATCTATGAGTTGAGCTTTTTTTGAAATTGATGTAAGATTAGTGAGACAAAAACAAGAATGTTATAGTTGATTAAGGGATGATAAGGCTAGAGTATTAAATTGGGTTGTTAAATTGAATTGTTCGCTATCAGGAATAGTCAAAGAGAGGAGGATGGCTTGGTAATGGTATATCGGTGAATGTGGGAATGCGGCTTGGAATTGGATGGATTCCCTGAATAAAAGTAGGATGTGAAGAGGATAGCATTTTTAAGTATGTGAACTTCCAAAAAGGACACAATAAAATAATAAACCGTCTTGGAGGGAACTGGCAACTCAGGAATACTCGTGTCCATGCACTTAGCACCATTGATTTACAGTGGGTTATAAGACAAATTCTGAGAAAAAATTAAAATTACAAGATTTATCTCATATACTGATATTTATTTATTTATTTATTTACAATCAGGGGAACTTCTCTTGCAATTGTGTCGTCTGGAAGATGCTGCTGATGTTTATAGAGGATTACAAGAGAGAAACCCTGAAAACTGGGCCTATTATAAAGGCTTAGAGAAGGCACTGAAACCAGGTAATTTTACTGATGTATTGAAAAACCACAACTTGAAAACTGGTGGTTAAGAATTTCTTCAAGCCGGGTGTGGTGGCGCACCCCTATAATCCCAGCACTCGGGAGGCTGTGAGTTGGATTCATTGTGCGTTCGAGACCAGCCTGGGCTATAAAGTGAGCTCAAGGCCAGCCTGAACTGCATAGCGAGACCCTGTCTCAAGAGAAGAAAAAGAATTTCTTCAAAATTTGAATATAAAACTGTATTGCATGTTTCCATTTTATATGCTGGATTGAGGTTTTGGTTTTTTGGAGGAAAAGATTGTCTTTTTGAGACTGGGTATCATATCACTATGCAGTTCAGGCAGGCCTTGAACTCACTTTGTGGTCCAGGCTGGCCTTGAACTCACAGCAGTCCTCACAGGTGTGTGCCACCATTCCCGGCAAGCATGTTTTGAAATCTCTCTTCTACTACAAATTGTTAGAAATGGTTGAAAACAGAATACAGGGGCTGGGGATTTAGCTCAGCGGCAAAAGCGCCTGCCTGGCGAGCGCAAGGTCCTGAGTTCGGTTCCCGGTACCGGAGAAAAAAAAAACAAAAAACAAAAAACAAGAAAACAGAATACAGAAACAGCTTTAGAGAAAAATCATGAATGTTCACTAGTATCGAAAACTTGAAAGGGAAAGTTCCTCTGGCAGAAATGGAGGTGTCTACCTACAAGAAAGATGTGAGAACAACCTCTTATAAGCTGTGGCTATGGCATGGGGCCTCCCAGTCGTGCATGAGTGTAGCCAGGCTGAATGAACTCCACTGTTCCTTTGTGGGAAGAGAAGTTAAATTTCTATCATTAAAACTTGGGTTCAGAGACTAACTGTGCTCTCCTGTGTTATTACCTCTTTACCCACAGTGGGGTTCATTTGTGAGGGTAGGCCCAGAAATAGGCAGGATCCTTAGCCAAGATACCTGATTGGAAGCTTTGTTTCCTTCAAGGCAGGTAGTAAGCTGTTGTGGATACATTTGTATATAAAACAAACCTTGCTGAAGATTGCTTTATAACAGAGTTTCTCAGACTGTCATAGGAACACCAGATTGGGATGATGACCTTCAGTGGTAGCCACAGGGAGAATAGAGACAAGGAACTACAAGATAAATAGAGGGAATCACAACTGTGAAATATGAGTAATTATAAGAAAGTACTAATTAGGGATTGGAGAATGAAAAGCTTATTTATTGAAATAAATCTTAATAGGCTGAATAGAAGAGAGGCCACAACTGAAAACAGTAAAAATTAGTGAAGTAGAAGATTAAACTGAGGAAAGCTTTTAGCATTTGTAATGAGAGTAAACAAAAAATATATAAAAGGAGTATGGAGAAATGAAAGATAATTCTGGATGCTCTGGACAGATCAAAAGAGATGAGTTACAGGAAAGAAGCTCAAAGAAAATTAAGTATTTTATATGATGATAGGTATTTAAAATATAAAAATACAAGAAGTATTCTAGAAAGATTATTGATATATTTAGGTAGTAAGATTATAAATAATTTTCTTTTCTGTTTCAAATTACCTTTTGGTAATAATTTTTAATTACTTGAGAAACAAATTTTCAGCAAAATGTACAATATATAATTACATCTAAAAATTTTTTTCCTTTTTCTGCAGCTACTATGTTCGAACGGCTAAAAATATATGAGGAGGCCTGGACTAAATATCCTAGGGGATTGGTCCCAAGAAGGCTGCCACTAAACTTTTTATCTGGTAGGTGAAAATAACTGCAAAGGAATGAAAATTGTGTGGTGAATTTAATTTCTTTCTTCATGTTTAGCTATAAGTGTATTAGTTACTTTCTGTTGCTGGGACAAAATACCCAAAATTCATAATTTTCAAGGAGGAGAAGTTTATTTGACTCACAGTTTGCAGTGGAGTAATTCCATGGTCAGCTCGCTGCAAGGCAGTAGCCAGGCCTCCTTGCAACATAACTGCAGTGGCCTCTGAGTGCTTGGATGGCTTGGCATGATAAAGTGAATCTCAGGGAAGTAATCCCTACATGGTTCTTCTAGGGTCAGCAGCCCAAGGGTTCTTTTCTCAAATAAAAAGTTCAGGATCTTGCTGATTTTTTTTTTTTTCCTTTGAGGTTTTTGTTTTTTGTTTTAGGTACTAGGAATCAAACTCAGGACCTTGTGCTTGCCAGGTAGGCACTTGTGCCACTGAGCTATATCCCTAGGCCTTTGCTGATTTCTGAGATACTTTCAATCCGTCTTTCCTGTTGTCCTGGTACAGAGTACTTGGCTTCTTTTTACAGCCAGTCTTTTCAGCCACCACACTCTTTTGTCCCAACTTCACAGCTTTTTTCTTTCTATCCAAGGTTCACATCAGTGGAGCTCTGCTTTTTGTTTCTTTTTTTTGAGACAAGGTCTCAGTATGCAGTTCCAGCTGGCGTTGAGCTCACTTGGTAGCCGAGGTTGGTCTCAAACTCACAACGGTCCTCCTGCCTCACCCTCCCGAGTGCTGGGATTACAGGCATGCGCCACCACGCCTGGTTTTTGCATCTGATTTTCACTATTAGTCTGGCTAAAAGCAGCCAGCAGTACCCACATCACAGCCTCAATATTGAGCTGCCTTAAAGTTTCCTCCACCACATTAATTACTCTTGAGGACATGGGCAAAATGTGGACAAACTCTTTGCCAGAATGAAACATGCATCACTTCTACTCCAGTTTCCATATTGCTTTCATTCACATTTGAAAGCACATAATCCTGGCCTTTATGTCTACTTTTCTGTCAGCATTCTAGTCATCTGAGCTCCAATTAGAATCCCCCATCAAACTATGTGTTCTAGGACTTCTCTAGACCACATCTCTAAACTTTGCCAAACTCCTGAAAATCAGTTCCAAGGGCTTCTGAACCACGTAGTCAGGTGCAGTCATAGCAGTGCCCACCCCCTTGCCCCCATCTATGTTAGTTAGGGTTCTCTAAAGGAACAGAAACAACAGAAAATGTATGCCTAATTTTGCAAGGGGGTTTATTAGGTAGGCTTACAGGAAAAGAGGTGAGGAACTCTACATTGGCTGGCTGAGCACTGGAGAGCCAGAGGGGATCCAGCAGCTGCACAGCCCAAGATGAAAGTGCAAAAACCAAGAGGGATCAGGGACGCTGTGCCAGTTCAAATCAAAACCCTGAAAGTTCGCTGGAGAGTCGCCAGTGTGAGCCTGCACTGGAAGGCTGAAGAAACTGAATACTTGTCAAAACTGGAGCTCCTCAGAACTGGCATGCTTCTTTCCCTTTTTCTTCCATCCAGGTTGCATTTTATTGATGCCACCTCCAGTAGAGTGGGTCTTCTCCCGGAGGTGTGCTGTGCTGATCTGCTAGACTTTTCTTAATCTAGTCAAGTTGACGTATCATGGCTAACAGTCATAGTCTGCAAATGAATGAAAATGCTGTTATGATTTAAAGATTCTTTTCTCAGCTTTTAGGTATAGGGGTGCATATTAAAGCTAAGGTATGCATGTTAAGAATTGTCTGGATAAATATAAGCCAGCAGGATTTTTTTCTTCCAAGGTGAGAAGTTCAGAGAATGTTTGGATAAGTTCCTAAGGATGAATTTCAGCAAGGGTTGTCCACCAGTCTTCAATACTTTACGGTCCTTATACAAAGATAAAGAAAAGGTAAAGCAAAATACGTTTTCTTTGGACTGCCATTTCTATGTGCAGTATTTGGAATGATTGACTGTGATTATCTGTGAATCTGCTGTCAGTTTTCCTAGCTTGAAGTTTAAGTGTTCCTAGGCCTATATCTTCCTTTTCATTGTATTTTCTCTTAGCCTTACTTGTTTTGTTTACTTTGTTTTGGTATATACTGTAATGAGTCTATGTAGGTTATGAAACATTAGAAACATATCAGTTTCTCCATTTTCTCTACTCTGTTCATTAGCAGGAAGTCTGAAGTGCTTTTATTTTAAAATCTAAGTTTTAGCTTTCTCTGTTTTTATTTGCTATAAAAAAGTTGTACGAGAAAAGATTGTTTGCTGTCCCAATAAGTCATCTTACTCTTTCAACTATGTGTTATAATATTGAAAGTGTTTTTTTAGAGGTTATTTTAATCCTAATTTAGATTATTTAGGCATCTTGGTTGGATTAAAAACAGATCACTTGAACTGAAAAGAATCAGAAAGATGGAGCAAGTTAAACATGTGTAACATACAATGTATATTTAATTGCCAGTCTTGAGAAGCCCAGGGAGTATGGGCTTTATTGATTTCTCTCTTCACTTGGATAAATTACCTCTTGTTTCTAGATTTGAAAGTGACAGTTTGGTGCTTGTGAAGCAGTTTTAAGAATAGAATGCTAAATTTTTAAAATTTTTATTTACACTTTTGTAATTTATGCTTAAATTTGGCTTAAACTTTCAAATTTATCTTTGAGTCTTTCCATGTTGCTCAGTGTATGGAAATAGTTGTATTTTTTCCAGTATCTTAAGTTTATATAATTTGAAATTGAATTCTGCCATTACAGTAGTTCTACCTATTGATAATAACTATAACTTACTAAAATAGGGTCAGGAGACAGAGTTGAATTTTTGTAAGCATGCAGCTAACTTGTGAGAAGACAGCACAGGAACTCAGGAATAACCTACCTGAGACCCTTCAGACTTCTGTACTAATAGAAATCTATAAAGCTAGATTAACCAAACATGGGAAGTTTTGTCTGCTTTGGTTTTTTTGAGATGGGTTTTCATTGTATTGCTTAGGCTGGCCTTGAACTCCTGGGCTTAAGCAGTCCTCCTGCCTCAGCCTCCTGAGTAGTTGGGACTATTAACATTTGCCATTGTGCTCAGCTTCAATGGGAATTAATGAACTAAAATTTTTAAGCTCTCGCTTGAACCCCTGGGAAAAGTGGTATAGTGAAGAGTCAGGAAAAATCTCAGTCTAGTCTGTTACTCATTCTCCTAGTCCTTGGATACCCTGCTGTTCTGTATTTCAGCTATTCTACTGATTGCTTCTGAATTTAGAGTTAATTGTTACCTTCTACTCATAGAAAATTCTTTTTTCACGTAACATTTAATTCTTGATTCTTAAAGAGCAGACATTAACTATGGGAATTATTTATAAAAGGTGAATCAAAATATAAATCATAAACAGCCTTGTCTGTGTTTAACCCTTTCCTGATTTCTGATTTAGTTATTTTATTTTCTAGTGGGGAGAAGGAGCCTACCAGTGAGCTCTAACTTATTTATTTAATTTTTAAAATTTTATTGTTATTATTATTATTATTACCAGTGATCTTTTAAAAACATGTTTTAATACATACTTCACAGAAAGACATTTTCAAATTTTTACTCAGAGGTCAAAGCAATTTATAGAGGAGTGTACCTGTGTTGGAGTGTTTATTCAGTCTTTTCTTAATAAATAAGACATTTTGCACAGTAGTAACTATGTATTTTTTCTACTAAAGCGTGCTTGTGTGTTTGTACTCCAGGTGGCAATCATAGAAGAATTAGTAGTGGGTTATGAAACCTCTCTTAAAAGTTGCCGTTTATTTAACCCCAATGGTAAGTGTTCAAATTTTGTTTTTAAAAAATCTTGAAAATTTCTATACATTACAAAATTCATAACCAGAAGGCCAATATTATTTAGACAATATGCATAGAGCATTTAAATTTTCTCCCATTAGGATAGAGATCCACTAATTTGTACATTGTGTAATGACACTTGATTAGAAGAGAATCACATTAGTTTATTGGAAAAAACTTTATGTAAAATGTAACATCTGTAAGACTAGACTTACACTTAGCTTTAGTAGTTTTGAAATCATGTCCAAATGTTTCCATAGTCTTACTTACTTACCTGGATACCTGTACTCCAAAGCAAATTCCAGACATCACATGATTTCATTCATGAACATTTCAGTATTGTCCAAAGGTAATATTTAAGTTAAAAAATAACTATAATACCATTAGCACACTTGAAAAGTACCTTCTTAATGAAGAAATGTCATACCATATTTTTTCTTTTCTTTTTTTTAAGTTTGCTTTGAGTTTGGTTGTTATGTCTCATAAGTTCCTTTATTTCATTTCATTTCATTTGTCTTTTTGAGACAGGGTTTCCCTGTGCAGTTCAGGCTGGCCTTGAGCTCACTTTGTAGCCCAAGCTGGCCTCAAACTCGCAATGATCCCCTCCTGCCTCAGCCTCCCCAGTGCTTTGATACAGGCGTGCGCCACCACACCCAGCTATAAATTCCTTTAATGTAATGGTTTCTTGTCTTGTCAAGTTAATTGTTGTTTTTTCTTGTGTTTTTTTTTTTTTGTCTAGATTTTCCTGAATGTACTCATATGTTAAAACACTATTCTATCCTCTGCATTTTTGTATAAGATGGTAGTTGGGTGTGGAGTTGTATCTTGTATGCTAGCATTAATGTCAGTGGCTAATTAACACTTCTAAAGATAGAGTAATAAAAATTAAGGTACTCAGTTACAGCACAATAGCCAATGCCTGCCATATTGGACAAGGCAGATACAAAACATTTCTGTTGCCGGGTGTAGTAGTGTACATCTATAATTGCAGCACTCAGGAGGGTAAAGCAGGAGGATCACTCATTTGAGGCCAGTCTGGGCTATATAATGAGTTCAAGGCCAGGGTGGACTATATATGTATGATGAGACCTTGTCTCAAAAAAAAATAAGAAAAAAAAAAAAAAAAAAAAGTAATAATAAAGATTTTTTTTTTTAAATTAAACATTTCTGGGGGAAAAAACCATTTCTGAATCTTCTAATAGGTCCAGCCTAGAGGCTTCATGAGATTCCATTTTGTTGTTTTGCTTGGTTTGTTGTTGTCGTGGTGGTTTTTTTGCCTTTTTGTTTTGTTTTGTTTTAGATTTTTTTGTCATTTTGAGACAGGGTCTCACTATGCAGTTTAGGCTGCCCTTGAACTCAGTTATGTAGCCCAGGCTGGCCTCAGACTTGCAGCTATCCTCCTGCCTCAGCCTCCTGAGTGCTGGGATTATAGGCGTGCACCACCTTGCCTGGCTTGTTGTATTTGTTTTTTTCAACATAAGGATGGTGAGCAAGATTATCTTATTTTATTTTTTTGGTACCGGGAATCAAACTAAGGACCTTGCGTTTGCCAGGCAGGCACTAATGCCATTGAGCTATATCCCCGGCCTGCAAGATTATTCTATATGTAGTATAGTCTTCCATCAGTAGACGTATAGTGTTAATATCTTAAAGGACAATTTTTATTTCATGTTGTTTGCTTATCCAATATTTCCATTTGTATAGGATAAACATGATAAAACATTTTTTCTCATTCTCCCCCTTCCCTTTCATTCAGAAATTTTCAAAAGAATCATTTGGTTCAGTTTTCAAAAGAATCAGTTGATTCATCTTTGAAAGTTCATTTTTCAAATAGGACAAATAAATTTTTAAAGATATTATGAACTTGTAGGTTTAAAAACTTCATATTTTAAATCTCACATGGCTCCATCATTTCCATGCCATAGCAATATTTGATAGTTCTTTAATATGATAAGTTTATCTTGTACACTGCCAGTTAACATTCTGGAATCAGTTATTTTTCCAGCACGTCTGGTTCCCATAGTGGGAAAGCCCAGAATGGTGGCATCCAGGGTGTACATTGCTTTGTTTCTAGGTCTCGGATTAATTTTGATAGTACTTTTTAGGTGTTACCATGGTTTCATTGTTTAATCATCACGATGTTCCTTTGGTTATCAGCATTTTCCTACATATTTTACAAATGTGGAAGAGGTTCAATGACATGCCCAAGAATATGCAGCACTTTTGTTGCAGATCTATTAGATCCGGAGTTGGTGAGTTCCACTCCTGTTGTTTGTCCACTGAGCCGTCTTGCTTTTACTAGGGAAAAAAAGGCAGTATTTTTCTTTCTTTGAAAGCAAGTAACAGTTCTCAGATGGTAGAAATTTGTATTAGAAAAGAATTTTTTAAATGTGTGGTTTGTATTTTTAATTTACACATTTTTCTTCTGGGTATATTAAATCATAGAGAATAAGTTTTTTCTAATTGTTATCTCATTTTTGGGATATAGTTTTTATTCAGGCTAAATAATTTATCTTTGTATATTTAATATAATATTAAAATCTACTAAGATTATCATCAGAATTTAAGATACCCATATTATAGCTAGGTTATGTGCAGTTTTAGTACAAGCAGTCAGAGTTGGATTTTTAAAAATCTCACATTAATGGAAAGCATTTCTTTTGGATTGTCTTCCCACCCCAACATCCTAAGACATCCATTCTTGTAGTTTGAGTATAACACCCTCCCCCGGCTTCCTTTTGGTTTCCTTTTTAGGTAGTTATAGGATTGAACTTATTTATCGACCATATTTGTTATAAAAAGTTATATACAAGGCATTGTGCTCAGGGGCTGCATGGATACCGAGTAGAAAACAAGATCCCTTTCAAAGATTTTACAGTCCTTGTTGTATTTTTATAGGTGGGTCACATAAAGAACTTTTAAGATAATTTCCTCATAGAGGGACCATTTTGAAGGGTGTACTCTTAATGTATGTAATACGTAGTCTTGATTTCTTCCCTCTCTTTCCCTCATCCCCTGCTCTTCAAAGATGATGGGAAGGAGGAACCACCAACCACATTACTTTGGGTCCAGTACTACTTGGCACAACATTATGACAAAATTGGTCAGCCATCTATTGCTTTGGAATATATAAATACTGCTATTGAAAGTACACCTACGTTGATAGAACTCTTTCTTGTGAAAGCTAAAATCTATAAGGTAAAAATCCCCCCCAAGGTAATTTTATATTTTATGGATTCTAAGTGTTGTAAGAAAAACGACATATATGATGCAAGGAAACATGGAATAAAAAGTACATTTCCTAATCTGATTTCTTCTAGTGTCAAGGCTGTGCTTATTTAATCTATATCGTATCTACACGTACATAAGGCTGTTCAAGCATGTATTCTCATATATTTATGTCTATCTGGTTATTCTCTTTGGGTGAATAAGAATATAGTAACCCATAGAGAAGTTATATGCTGTAAAGTGTGTATTTTGATTAATAGTTATGATCACATATCAGTATCTGATGAATTGAAATGCAAGGATTTCATTATGCCTTCTACCTATTATATCTTGACTTTCTAGTCTGTGGGCTCTGCTTGAGACTCTCCAATGACATGTTCTGGCATCTTTTTTTTTTGGATACCAGGAATCAAACTCAGGACCTTGCACTTGCCAGGCAGGCACTTGTGCCACTGAGCTATATCCCCGATCATCATCTTAAAAGGCATCATCTTAAAAGTGGCTCTTTTTTTGTCTTACTGCAAATGAAATTTAGTGATCAAAGGTATTGATGTTGATAGTTGTACAACAGAGATTTATTTAGCCAGAAAATTATGGATTTAAGTTGTATTTTGGTGGTGGCATGTTGCTGAGGACTAAAGATTGTTGCCTCAAGCACACTACGCAAGTGCTCTGCCGTTAAGCTGCATCACCAGCACTTTTTAAAGCCAATGTGCTCCTCACATTTGTGGTGGTGTTACTACTTAGATGAAGTTGAATGAAGATTATTGGGGAGTGTCCATTCATGGTCCTAATTACTAATGTTTCCAGGTTCCTTTGGAGCAGAAAGTGGCCACCACTTTAACTCACTGAATTAGTTGTTCCCACTAAAGGCTTATATTGTCATTTATTCTGTACTTTGACAGTTGCTTTCGAGTATTTACTATGTGGCAAGTGCTGCTGTACACAATGTAGATATAACATTAAAACAAGTCTGTATTATCAGAGCGCCTACATTTTAGCTGGCCAGGAAGAATTACAGAGGAATATATGTTTCTACATTGTTTAGAATCAGATGCTGTCTAATACTTTTTGTTTTATTTATTTTAATTAACGGGAAAAAATAACCTGTCCAGTAAAATTAGCATTCTTACTGGTTGCTTTGCAAATTTTGTGCTTTTAAGCATGCTGGGAATATTAAAGAAGCTGCAAGGTGGATGGATGAAGCCCAGGCCTTGGACACAGCAGACAGATTTATCAACTCCAAGTGTGCAAAATACATGCTAAAAGCCAATCTGATTAAAGAGGCTGAAGAAATGTGCTCAAAGTTTACAAGGGTTTGTATGGCTAATGTTCTTACTTATGAATCGACAGGACATAGCCAATTCATACTTGAACCTTGGCCTTTTTTCTTTTCTTTTTTTGAGATAGGATCTCTATGTAGTTCAGGCTAGCCTTGAACTCCAGGCAGTCCTCAGCCTCCTAAGTGATGGGATTACAGTTACGCGCCACCACGCCTGGATCACCTTGGTCTTTTTCAGAATTTGTTTTCAACATTTTTAGTAATAGAATAGCCGGGACACTTAAGAAAATTTATTTACTTATTTTGGCTGAGACAGTCTTGCCATGTAGTTCAGGCTGGCCTAGAGCTCACGATGTAGCCTAGGCTGGCCCTGAACTCACAGTGATCCTCCTAACTCAAGGCCTCCCCAGTGCCAGCATTACAGGCGTGCACCACTGTGCCCAGACAGTAGTGTTCTTTTTCTTGCATTAATTCCTATTGCCCAATTAATGTACACCTTTAGTTTAATCATTTGGAAAAATGCTTACTGTTTTTGATGTTTACAAAGAGAATTTTAATTTATTTTATGTATTAACTACTTCCTCTTACTATAAAAATGATTTAAAAATCAAAAGACTTTTTCAGAAGAATCCATATCTGTTGACTGTGTTTCCTTCTTAAATTCGTGGTAGAATGGTGTATTTGGTAAGAAATGGAGTTGAATGTATGTGGTTTTTGTGTAGGAAGGAACATCAGCAGTAGAGAATTTGAATGAAATGCAGTGCATGTGGTTCCAGACAGAATGTGCCCAAGCATATAAAGCAATGAATAAATTTGGTGAAGCACTTAAGAAATGTCATGAAATTGAGAGAGTAAGTACCTTCTATATATGAATTTCTCATATATTTTGTTGGCTGTCAAGGGTTTGGGGGAAATCCTATTATTTTTCCCCATCTTCAGAAGTCACAGGTAATTATTAAAATCAGTGTTTACTTTTAAAATTTTTATAATGGAAATAATATATTTTCAGGAGAATGCTCTTATCCTTTTTTTTTTTTTTTTTTTTTTTTTTTTTTTTTTTTTTTTTTTTTTTGTCTTTTTGAGACAGGGTCTTGCTATGCAGTTCAGGCTGGCCTTGAACTCACTTTGTAGCCCAGGTTGGCCTCGAGTTCACAACAATCCTCCTGCCTCAGCTTGCCAGGTGCTGGGATTACAGGCCTGTGCGACCACGCCTGGTTCCTATCTATTCTTCTAACAATTTTTTTCAAAAACTTTATGGAAATTTTGTATCTTACCTATATTTTTAGTGACCTTTGAAACTGTTTTGGGGCATTGCTATTTCCTCTACAGTTGAACATAAATGCTTTTCAATGCTCCATTTTGTCTACCCTGAGGATGTGTGGTGATTCCATATACTGTTACAGGATCCAAGCCTTGAAGCTTTTCACATTGTTTCTGTGGACGTCGGTTCTTTTCATTCTTGTTTTTTTTGTCTTTTTGAGACAGGGTCTCACTATGCAGTTCAGGCCGGCCTCAAACTGGCAGCAATTCTGCCTCAGCCTCCCAACTGCTGGGATTACAGGCGTATGCCACCACAGCCAGCTTCTAGTTCTTTATTTTCTGATGAAAGCATTATTATTTCTCTTTACTTTAGATTCTTTTTTATCACTTGTAATGGACTTTCCTTTGTGTTTTTCACAGAAAAGCAGTTTATATATAATTAAGTTTACATTTGTAATATTGTCAAGTATAGAACACCAATGTTTGGTTGAAATGTGGAAGTTTCTGATTTGTCTTCCATACACAGCCTGATACTGTATAGGGTTTAGACATACAGCCCCACCCCCCCCGCATTTTGTATCATAATCACTTACAGATGGCTCTAAATAAAAACCTCAGTGTGTAGTGTGAATCTGCTGTATTGCACCATTTTGTATGCTAATCACTTAGACTTGATTTGTCAGAATAGCTTTACTTAAGTGTGGTTAAGGATAGAGTGTGTGTATGCGTGTGTGTGCATGGCATTTGTGCTTCCCTTTTATTCAGTGAGTTTTAATACCTAATTGTCATGTCCTTTGGGTGGTGGCCAGTTATATTTGATATGTAAATTGTTTATATTGAGTGATTATAATACTTTTGTTTTACTGATTTTTGCCCCAAAAGAGTAATTCCAAGAGTTTGATGTAAAGCTTTCTTAGACATTGCTATACTTCAGTATAATAATAAAAAGATAATTTTGTTAGCATTTTATAGAAATCACTGATGACCAGTTTGACTTTCATACATACTGTATGAGGAAGATTACCCTTAGATCATATGTGGACTTATTAAAACTAGAAGATGTACTTCGACAGCATCCATTTTACTTCAAGGCAGCAAGAATTGCTATCGAGATCTATTTGAAACTTCATGACAACCCCCTTACTGATGAGAATAAAGAACATGAAGCTGATACAGGTATAACATTCAGCAATTCCTTACTATTTTTTGCTGTGGTATATTTACTTACTTTATTTTCCAAACACAACCACAATTCATATTTAGTATATTTACTTCAAGCCATAATTCTTAACTTTTGTTTTACATACTGTCATACTGATATAGAGGAAATGCTAGATGTCAGATACGCCAAGTTTGTGCCCTCCGAGGTTGAAGAATAAATTCTAAGGAATGACAGGGGTTAAGAGTAGGAAAAGGTATTGGAGAAATGGAATGAGGAATAGGAGTTGGGAGTGGGAGTAGCTCCTGAGAGACAGGAGGGGTCCCGAAATGGGTTGTATATATTTATGGTGTTTGATAATGCAGTTCTCGCTGTGGATGTTAACTGAGCATCTTTTGGGAAAATGTTATACCAAGTTAGTAATCGATGGATGTTTTGTGAATTTCTCTAAGCAACAGAAGAAAAATATTGCTTATTATACTTTCAAAATAAGTACAGATTTATCAAAGATTTAGATGTTCAGCATTTAAGAAGTTTGAATTTGTAAGTTTTACATTTACTGTCTGACTTACTCATCTAACTGTAGTACTGTAAGCTTCTAATTATATAATTAGTGTGGGAACACGTTAGTGTAGGCTGCTAGTGTAACTAGTTGTTCCTCTTTGTTTTTTGAGAGGGTATTTAGTTTTGTTCTGCAGTATCTGGAAGTGAACCTGTGCTTTCATATTGAGCTGCATTCCCAGTCCTTTTTTATTATTTTTATTTTGAGACAGGGTCTAGGTCACTAAATACCCTAGCCTGGGCTCAGACTTTTTCTTCAGCCTTCCCAGTGCTGAGATTACAGGCATGTATCACCATGCCCAGCTTTTTTTTTTTTTTTTTTTTTTTGGTCTTTTTTGTTGTTTTATTGGAACATTATACATGTACATAATAACACTCACCATAGAAATTTGTACCTGTACATGACATATCTTACTGCTTCGTTTTTCTCATTCCCCTCCCCTCCCTTCAGTCCCTGTTCCCTTCCTTATTTATAAGAGCTTTGTTTTCATTTTTTTCTTCTCTCTTATTTCCTTTCCTCTCTCCCCCATCCCGTGTTCCTTTCTCATTTGAACGTTTTCTTCCCATTTTCCAACATCTGTTACACATTTTGGGTCTTACTTACACTTCTGGTTTCTCATACCAGAGAAGCAGTATGATATTTAAACGTGTGTCTGATTTATTGCGCTTATGAGTATGGTCTCAAGGTGCATCCCTGTAGCTAGAAATGGGTCAAGCTTATCCTCCTTCATGGCACAGTAGTACTCTATTGTATTTTTTAAAAACCCCACATCTTCTTTATTCATTCATTAGTGGGCATTTGGGCTGTTTCCAAGATTTATCTATTACAAACTGTGCCACTATAAATGTGGGTGTGCATGTATTGCTGTGATTTGATGCTTTTAATTCTGTTGGGATGATACCAATAAGGGGAATAGCTGGGTCAAATGCAATCTCCAGCTGTACTTTTTTGGTCTTTTTGGTCTTTTTTTGAGACAGGGTCTCACTGTGCAGTTCAGGCTGACCTTGAGCTCACTTTGTAGCCCAGGCTGGCCTCAAACCCACTCCTGCCTCAGCCTCCCAAGTGCTGGGATTACAGGCGTGTGCCACCATGCCTGGCTACTTTTTTGAGGAATCTCTACCCTGAATTCCCCAGTGGTTGTACCAGTCCACACTCCCACCAACAGTGGAGAAGGGTTCCTTTTTACCCACAGCCCCTCCAGCATTTGTATTTGGTTGATTTCTTTATAATAGCCATTCTTTCTGAGGTGAGATGGAACCTCAGTCACTCACTGGAGTTGTTTTAATTTGCATCTCTTCAGTGGCTAGTGATGTTGAACATTTTTTCATATTATTGTTTTGTTTTTTGTTTTTGGTTTTTCTCCGGTACCAGGAACCGAACTCACGACCTTGCGCCTGCCAGGCAGGCGCTTTTGCCGCTGAGCTAAATCCCCAGCCCCATTTTTTCATATTATTTACTTTCCATTGCTACTTCTTCATCTGAGAAGTATCGGTTCATTTCAGATGCCCATTTTTGGATTGGGTGTTTATATTTGGGGAGGTCTGATGTTTTTCAGTTCTTCGTATATTCTAGATATTAGTATTTTCTGAGGAACAGTTGGCAAAATTTTTTTCCCACACTGGGTTGTCTCTTTACTCTCTTGGTGGTTTCTTTTGCTGTACAAAAAGCTTTTTAATAAGAGGAGATCCCAGTTGTTGATTCTTTGTGATCGCTCCTGTGAGATCGAGGTTTTGTTCATAAAATCTTTATCTATAGTGTCTTCAAGGATTCTGCCTATTCCATCTTCCAGCATATTTAGTGTTCCTCTTTTAATATTTAGATCTTTGATCCGTTTCAATTTTAGTTTAATGCATGGTGAGAGATAGGGGTCTAGTTTTAGTCTTTGGCATGTGGAATGCCCACTTTTCCAGAGCCATTTATTAAAGAGGCTATCTTTCTTTTAGCAAAAGTGTTTGGCTCCTTTGTCAAAGATAAGGTGGCTGAGTGTGTTTGGAGTTGTTTCTGCATCTTCTAATCTGATCCTTGGGTCTGTTGTTTTGCTAGTACCATGCTGTTTTTATCATCAGCTCCTCTTTCTAGTACTACTGTAATTTATAATTATCCTACTAAAAGATGAATATTGCTTAACATTAAATGCCACCTTGGAATTAAGCTAGGAAAAGTGCCCCCAGTGATTTATCATTTGACCCATTTTTAACATACCATTTTCACAGTAAGGTCTCAGGATTTGTGGAGAGAAATCTTCCCTAGACAGTTGAGAAAGACACTCTGAATGAAAGTTGTCTTGTATGGAGGAGATATAAAGTAACTAGGTCTAAATGGCTTGTGACTTACTCATTGTAAATCTCCTGTGGTGAGCTGACATGAGTCCTTTTAAGGCAGGGACAGGTAATAAAGAACATGGCCACCAACTGCAGCCCATGGATCAGATCCACACTGCAGTCTTGTTTTGGTAATAAAATTTTACTGGAGCATGTATAGCTGAGTGTACTTGCAAGAGACTCATGTTCTGCAAAGCTGAAAATACTTAGCATCTTGACCATTGCAGAAACAGTATGCTGACCTGTGCGTGGTACAGTAGCATAGTAGAAGACACTTAGACTTTGTTGTCAGCAGGAAAGACATTTAAGTCCTTGCTCTGACTTTCACTATCACTGTGAGTTGCCATTTTTCAGAACTCTGCACCCTTAGTTATCTTGTACACTCATCCCTTGGTATCCTTAGGGACTGGTATGGGGGACCTTTTCAGATGCTAAAATTCATGAATGCTGAATTCTCTTCCAGAAAACAGTGTAATGATGTAGTATTTGCATAAAATCTACATGCATTTGCTTGTATATTGTAATTTCTATATTCCTTACAATAACTAACATGATGTAAATTTTATTGTGTAGCTAATACTGATAAGAAAAATAATGTCTGATGTTCAGTACCACCAGAGGATTTTTTTTCCTTTTGTTTTGTTTTGGGAAATGGTTTCATTATGTAGTTCAGGCTGGCCTAAATCTCACTATGTAGCTGAAGGTGAGCTCAACTCACGTGCCTCATGCCTCAGCCTCCCAAGTTCTGGGATTATTGGTATATGCCAGCATACCCAGCTGTATAATTGTTTTGTGTGGTATTTTTGATCAGAGGTAGTTGAATCTGCAGTGTGGATGCTGAACTGATGGCTATCTATTATATTGTAATCCAAGAGGTTGTTGAGGACGTTAAACAACATGTGTACTATATCTACCATATAGCAAGGGTGAACGTGGTATAGCAGTTATGTTTAAAAAATCAGCATTTATTTAGCCTTCCATTCATAGTCTTGTGTCTTCAGAATGTAATTTTTTATCCTTACTTGAAATTTTCCTGTTTTACTATTAAGGGATTCTTTATGCTGGGTGTTATAACACATGCCTATAATCTCATCATTCTGAGAGGCTAAGGCAGGAGGACCACAAATTTGAGCCCAGCCAGGGTGACTGAACAAAAGCACTGTCCCAAAATTTTATTTTGTCTTTTTGAGACAGGGTCTCGCTATACATTTCAGGCTGGCCTTGAGCTCACTTTGTAGCCCAGCCTGGCCTCAAACTCGCAGTGATCCTCCTGCCTCAGCCTCCTGAGTGTTGGGATTACAGGCGTGCACCATGCCCAGCTATCCCAAAATTTTATAAGAGTAAGTGGAGTGGCTAGACATAAGAGCACAGTGTGACGGCTCTGAATTCAATACCCACAGCCAGAGAAAGGTGGGTGGGTGGGGATTCTTTACCAGGCAAAAGAAAGACAGGTATATATTTGGTTTTGGCAGTTGTATATTCATTGCTGTATAATAAATTAACCATTTAAAGTAGTTATTTCTGTTTGTAGGTTTTTTGTACCAGGAATCGAACTTGGGACCTTGCACTTGCCAGGCAGGTGCTGTGCCACTGAACTATATATCCCCAGCCTAAAACAGTCATTTTTGTGGATCAAGAATTCAGCAGTGCCTAAGTGGTTCTAGCTTTGGGTCTCTTTTAAAAAGTTACAGTTAAGATTTGGGCTGAGCCAGGTGTGGTGTCAGATGCTTGTAATTCTAGCCCTCACGGGGCTGAGGTGAGATCATGGAGTTTGAGGCCAGCCTGGGGGACACAGTGAGTTTAAGGCTGCCTGAACTACTTAGCGATATCCTGTCTCCACAAAAACGATTTCAGCTGAGCCCGCATTGCTCAAACTAGGGCTAAAAGGTCTGTTTCCAGGTGGCTCACTCATATGGCTGTGCCAAGAGGCTTTTTTTTTTTTTTTTTTTTTTCCTTTTAGTTTTTCTGTGGGGTTTCTAGAGTTCCTCAAGATGTGGTAACCGGTCACGAGAGAGCAAAGGCAAAGCTGTGCAACTTTTTAATGTTTTATATGTTTGACTTGAAGTCCTGTTCCTTCCTTTACATCCTAATTAGTCAGAAGAAAGTTACCTGGCGCAACTGACACTTGAGCAAAAGGGAGCTAAAGAATATTTGGACATATTTTTAAGTACCATGGTGTGCATTTTAGCTACAAATTGCTTACATTATTTTGTATGTGCAAAATAGTTTCTTTTCTTTTCCCAAGGCCATCAGAAATCTTACCCCATTGTATTAACTAGCTTAAAGTCCACAGACTTCTATAACACAGTGACAGGTACTGGTGTGGCTCCTGGAGATAACTGCTTTCTCAAAAATTAGCTTTTCAAAAGTAGTTTTTAATGCGAAATCCTGTAAACTAAACAGGCAAGTAACTTACCAACTGCAAATCCAAAATACAATTCCAGCACAGGGATAGGAGCACCCCACACACACTGTGGATATTTTTAGAAGGCCCACAAAAGTTACTGGTTTGTATTAGTTCTCAAGTCCAGTGGGACACAGGTTCACAACTCTGTTCTTGACTAGACTCGAGACATAGGAATCATTTTCTGTAGCTGTTGGTTCTGTCCTCTGAGTTCTTGGTTCCACCTTCTGTATTCTCCTTTCTCCGAGGTTAGTACTTGTTAATAATTAAGTGATTTTTCTTCTGCTTTCTGCCAGTAGAATTTCAAGAGTCTAAAAACCTCTTGCCATTTTTTACTCTCTGTTCCTTTCAGTCCAGATTTGCAATGTATTTGCCTGTAGAACTCTTCATAAAGCTATGGCTTTTTTCATGACTGGTATTGGAATCCATGTGCACCTTGTAGTAGCGGGAGAGCCCTCTGGTTTCTTATTAGCTTTATTGTATGGCTGAGAGGATTTAGGAGTCATACAAAGCCTTTCTTTACTCCGAGGCACCATCCTTCTGAGGGCTGGGTCTTCAAAGATTTTAAAGCCAAATTCTTTGCTTTCCCTCTTGACATGTTTTCCTGACAATGCCTTGGATTTGATCTTTGCTCAGAAGATATCTCTGGAGAGACTTGAGTTTTCAAAACCATCAAGTCCCTGGTAATTCTTTTAGTTTCTTTCTCTTCTTTGGATTTTACTATAAGCCGCCAGAAGAGTCATGTGCCACAGTCAACACTGAAAGTCACTTTAGCTAGGTCATTAGTTGATTAGATAAATAACACAGTTGCTTAAACTTTAAGCCCTCCCCTGGGGTCTCTTGAAAGCCGACTAGTAATAATCTCAAGCTCTTCATTCAGACTTTCACTAAAGCTTTTTGCAGGATTGATTGTCCACTTTTTGCTACTCCCTGGTTCCAGTGTTGCTTCCATATTTTTGTTTCAGCAGTATCCCTTTTCCTTATGTCAAAGTCTGCATTGATTATTTACTGCTGCAAAGCAAGTTACTCAGAAACCTAGCAGCTTTAAACCACAGATACTTGTTATTTGACAGTTTCTGTGGATCAGGAATTAAGGACTTTTAGCCATAATATTCTGCAGACTCAGGGTATGCCAGGGAGGGCGAAGTCAAGGTGACAGGACGCTGAAGGAAGACTTGGGTTGGGGGATCTGCCTCTGCAATGGCTTACTCAGGGCTCTAGGCTGTCAGTTGGACATGTGGGTCTTTCCACCTGGTTCTCCAGAGTGACCCAAGAGAAAATCAAGGACTCTCCAGGGCGTTTGAGACTGAGCCTTAAGCGTTAGATACCTCCATCTGTACTATGTTCTTTTGGCCCAGGGAGTCACTAAGTATAGGCATCACCTTTTAAAGGGAAGAGTTTGTGGGTGTATTTTGAAATTATTGCTGAGGTGGTATGTTTTGGAATGACATTTTTTCATTTTTCAGTATTAACAAGTGTTAGCCAAATATACCCTGACTGAACATACTGTTTTCACATTTCTTGTTCAAAATCTAAATGGTGTACATCTTTCACTTTATTGTAACATATGTGTCAGTGGTTTCCAGTCTTTCTTTTGAGAAATTCTTACTACCCTAAGGGTACTGTTAACTTTCAATAGTGGTATACAATGTATCACAGTTACTAATTTATTCTGTCAACAAATACTTGAATATTTTTGTATGCTTGGTTTTCTGCTAGGCCTTGAGAATTCAAAGTTAAGAATAAGACAGGATGCCCATCTACCAAGGAGTCCATAATTTAAGAGATGGATGTTCCAACAAACTATGTGATGAGCAGAAATACATTAGGCATAGAGCGGTAAATAATTGACCAGATTAGAGAAAGCATACTTTGACAGAACATTGTCCAGAGCTGTAGAGATATGTGTGTGACAGTGTTATTTCATAGAACTGCAGGTAGCTTAATATTGCTGGAGGAAGTCCAGTGCTTTGCTATGGCTTGTGGTTTGTGTGTGCTCTTGGATTTAAAACATTTTTTTTAAAGATATTCTATTTGCTATCTAATGTGGGCCATTAAAGGGCTAGGCATATATGGGCACATTTAGACACATACCATGCAGTACATTTTCTATGGGAATTTGGGAGTATAAAGAAGTAGTAGTTGATAATTACTAATCTGATTAACATGTTCTTAATTTCATTAACACTCACTGCCTACAGCAAACATGTCTGACAAAGAACTAAAGAAATTACGTAATAAACAAAGAAGAGCTCAAAAGAAAGCCCAGCTAGAAGAAGAGAAAAAAAATGCAGAAAAAGAAAAGCAGCAGAGAAATCAGAAAAAGAAGAAGGATGATGATGATGAGGAGATTGGCGGTCCAAAAGAAGAACTTATCCCAGAGAAACTGGCCAAGGTACTTAATAGCTGGGTGAAAGTTCATGGCCAGGTGCTGTCATTTCAGTAGTTTCTGATTGTCTCTCATACTTAAATTTTGAGTGATGATTGTGTTCCACAGTAATCTAGCACAGTCTAGTGGGAACAACTTTGCGTTTGAGTCGTTCTGATCTGGGTTTAGATATTAGTCCTTAGTCTTCCACTGTGCGCCTTGCGTCACATCTATAAAATCGAACTAAGAAAAATCTTTAATAGGACAAAAAAAATAATGTATGTAATGCATCTGGTATCTGTTATAAGGAATAACATGAAAAATTTTGTATTTAGGTTAAATTGAGGTTGTTATAAGCTAAGGACTGTATGTGTATCTTTCACTTATCTGTGTTGTCAATTTATAGTATTTTCTTTACTGGCCTTTATTTGAACCTGGTATCTTGAAAGCACCTAAGTATTTTCCCTGAGCTATAATCTGCCCTACTGGGTGTTATGTTTGTTTTGTTTTTGGTAGGGGTGGGGGTTTACTGAGGATTGAACTCCGGGTCTTCACACTGAGCTATATCTTCAGCCCTTTTTTAAAATTTTGAGACAAAAATCTTGCTAAGTTGTCCGGGCTGGGCTCTAATTTAAAAATTCTTTTTTTTTTTTTTTTTTTTTTTAGCTGAAACCAGGTGTCCATTACTGCACAAACCATTTTAAATACTAATACAACTATATAGTTTCTTTTGACGTTTGGCATCCTACTCCATGTGAAAATAACTGCATCATTCATTATATTAAAGCAATATAGTAAAACCATTCTCCTAGACTTCAATTTTAGCCTTAAAATTCAAAATCATTTTCTTGCCTATAACTAATGAAAATTATGATTCCAAATAGAGCTGGAGAATATGTTTAGAATTATACCTGAGCAGATAATTAGTAACATCTCATAGAAATACTGATAAAAGAAATATACAAAATCTAATCTGGATTTTGCATGGGTATATTACCATCTTTTTTTTTTTTTTTACAAATGTATAACCATTAGAAACAAAGATAAGTATCTTTTTATTGTTACGAGTTTCCTGCAAGAATATACAGGAAAAGCTGGGCATAGTTGTGCACAACTATAATCCTAGTGCTCAGGAAGCTGAAGCAGGAGGATTACTGGAAGTTTGAGGCCGGCCTGGGCTATAAAGTGAGTTCAAAGGCAGTCTGAACTACATAGCGAGATCCTCTCTCAAAAAAAAAAAACAAAACAAAAGGGCCAAGGATCTAGCTCAGAGGCACAAGTGCCTGCCTGGCAAGTGCAAGGTCTTGAGTTTGATTCCCAGCACCAAAAAAACCACAACAAATCAACAAAAAGAATATTCAGGAAAGCAAGGAAACAAGAAAATTGACCTTTCTGGCCTCATGGAGAATTACTAAGTTATCCAGTCGTTAGAGATCCTCCCATATCTGCTTATAGTTTTGAAGAGGTACCTTCATTGTTCAGTCACTGTGATAAAGAGTCCACTACAGAGGAGAATTCTTGTACCATTCCTCTAAGGAGACTCCTAGGTTTTCCTTCTGCCCAGGCTAAGTGGTTGCCTTTGAACCTAATTTCAAGCTGTAGACTTAATTGTAGTCATTTTTAAGTCTCAGAAAAAAGTAATACCTACAGAAAATGCTTTGACTGCTTTGTGTGGAACTGGCTTGGTGGAAGGCGGCACCCCTTTTCATAAATTGTTCCTCAGTACATACCAGTACTGTTTTTACCTGAACCACAACATATGACCATTTTTGCTGACTCTTTTTCTCCACGATACCTTTGTCTAATAGCATCCGTATTCACCCCATATCCCTGGGGTGGTAGCAGTGTTTAGATTACACAAAACTGTCAGAACTTGGAGTGACATTTTAAGCTATTTTACAAGTTGCCTACCAAATCTAGGGAGATAGATAGGTAGATAGATAGATAGGAAGGAAAGGCAGTAATTCTGTTTAATAAGGAGAAATAAATGAAAATAGGTACAGTGAGTTAAGCATTCAGCAAACTAAACATGAATCTGTTTGTTTTTTGTTTTGTTTTGTTTTGAACCCAGGGAGCACTGAACTATGTCCCATTCCTTTTTATTTGATTTTGAGACAGGGTTGTGTTAAGTTACTGAAGCTGGCCTTGAACTTGGGATCCTTGTGCTCTGCCCTCAGGATTACAGGAGGTCCTGATGGGAACTGTATCACTTGTATATGTAATTTATCATGAGGCAGTGGTTGTATTTATGAATTTGTTCACGTACTGTGCATCTTAATATTTCTGTCACATCTTCAAGGGCTGGAAGTCCTTAGTATTTTTTCTATCTGTATAGGGTTTAATGATTTTAAACTTTTCTTTTGCTATGCTGATGGTATGGAGAGGTACATAGGGATTAGATTAGGGATTAGATTTCAAGTTAGTATTGTAAATTTGAAAAATTCATGTGATTAAAATTGTCTTGCAAATATCTTAAATTGTCCAAGTACAACACATTCCCAGCCTAAATGCATTTAATTGGGGTGAAGTATAAACTATTTGTGACTGGCTGTGATTTTTTTAAAAAACAAGACAGAGAAGACTATGCATATAGTATGGGCATTTCCATCCAGTACTCCACTCCATGAACACAGGGCCCCAGCCCGACAGGAGATGGGAGGTCTGACTGCCGTCGCTTTCAGTTCTTGTGTACCTCTTTTCTTGTGAATGTCTTGCCATGACTGTGATTTTGGCACTTACACATACAAATAATACAAACTAATGATATATCTGTCTGCCTGTCCTTTTAATTTAAAGGGCTTTTCAAGATTGGTTTTGACTTTTTACTTAGGCACTGATTTTAGAGTCTCATTCCTATTTGCATGCTTTTGCATATATCCCTGTACTTCATTAAGTGTATAAAAGCAAATTGTAGTTTTTTTTATTGTGATTATGTACATATATTCAACATTTAGATTAACCAGACAAAATAACATTTTTAAAAAGGCATATAGAATGAGACTATATGTAGGAACAATAGACACAGTTATCCTTTGGGGGCATATATTTTCATTGATTGATTGATTGATTGATTGTGGCAGGGTCTCACTATCAAGGTCAGTCCAGGCTGACCTTGAACTCACTGTGTAACCCAGGTTGGCATCAAACTTGAAGCTATCCTCCTTCCTCAGCCTTCCAAGTGCTAGGATTACAGGCGTGCACTACCATGCCTAATGTATGTTCTCGTTTTTAAAAGTAAGACATAATTAATTTGTGTTTTCTAACTCCCAAGTTGAAGTACTTGATTTTACCACATAATGATAAATAATATTTGTATTGATTCATCTTGCCATATTTCTGGTTTCCATTTTGTAATAGCAGCCATATCTTCCTGATAGTAAATTACCTTGTCAAACATAGTGGCCCTCATTTTACTCTATACCCTTAGAAACATGAAAAGCTAGCTGGATGTGGTGGCGCACGCTTGTAATCCCAGCACTCGGGAGGCTGAGGCAGGAAGACCATTGTGCGTTTGAGACCAGCCTGGGCTACAAAGTGAGCTCAAGGCCAGCCTAAACTGCATAGCAAGACCCTGTCTCAAAAAGACCAAAAAAAAAAAAAAAAAAAGAAAAGCTTGATATAATTGATTGTCAATTTCAGTTTTTCTTCTCTAACTTACCCTGATAGAAATATGTCATCCCTATATACTACAAATTCAAACCCAGTATAATATAAAATAATGGGAATAAGAAACAAAGTGTTTACAAACGTGTGAGAAAGACTCTTATGAAGACCCTATTTTTGCCTAGATCTTTTGGTTCTTGAATCAGTAGTCATTAGCGTGATGTTGCCACATTTTGTTTCTGGTTTAGAGCCTGTATCTTTCAAAATAACACCACCTGCCACTGTTTCTGGGATTTTAATGAGTATTTTCATTGTCCTGTAAGGGGAGCTACTACTTTCTTCTTTCTTTTTTTTTTTTTGTACTGGGAATCGAACTCAGGACTTTGCGCTTGCCAGGCAGGCACTTGTGCCGCTGAACTATATCCCCAGTCCTCCTTTTTTTTTTGGTCTTTTGGAGACAGGGTCTCCCTCTGCAGTTCAGGCTGGCCTTGCGCTCACTTTGTAGCCCAAGCTGGTCTCGAACTCACCACGATCCTCCTATCTCAGCCTCCTAAGTGTTGGAATTACAGGCTTGCGCTACCATGCCCAGCTAGGGCAAGTACTTCTACATAGGTTTAAAACAAGGTAAATGAGAAGCTGGGTGTGGATCGAATGGCAAATCCAGTTTTCTATTAAGAGTAGGTGTTAGTGCTTCTGTGAGGAGGGAAGGTGAATAGAGCATCCAGATATTCAGTACGCTGATAAGTGTTTCTCCATGCACCCCAGTGTGCAGGGGTCGTATTGTCTCAGTACTCAGCCTGCGATTAGTATCACAGCACAGTCATAATAGTGAGAATCACTCCTACCTAGCAAGATTACATGTGTAACTAATGTGACATTTATATAGTTAGTAAAGAATGGTAGGGACCGAGTTCTATAAATATAAATCTCTTAGACTGCCATATGCCTTAGTATGATATTTTAGTGAAGATGGCTTGCTGTAGACTTTATAATAGAACAAGGCAGACAATTGATAGTACACTATTTTGAATAGGTGGATCATACTTCATTTTGTTAGAATTATAAAGAATTTTCACTGAGTTTATAATACTTTTTATGATTTCCTTCATCCCCCTTTCCTATTGTATGTCCCTCTTCTGTATTTTTTTGCCCTCCTAGCTATTGTTTCTTCCTGGTGTTATTTTATCCAGGGATAGCTTCTATCCAGAGATAATGTAATACCTGTAATTAAAGATTAGTTTAGTTCCGAGTTCTAGACTATTCATAGTGGCACATGCCTGTAACGCTAGCACTCTTGGGAGGGTGGGGCAGGAGGATTTTAAGTCAGAGCCCAGCCTCGGTGGCCTAGTGTGACTGTCTCAAAATAAAAATAAAGAGGGCAGAGTATGTGGCTCAGTGCTAAGGCTCTGAGTTCAGTCCTCAGCGTTGTCCCCCAAGGCTCTGAGAGATTTTTGGAGTTCAAAATCTCCTTTATTTAGCTATGGTAGGTTAAAATACAGCAGTATATTTCAGGGTTACTGGTAAGTGATTTTTGTTTTTCTGTAAGAATAAAACAAAGAAGTATTTTTAATACAGTAAAATCACATTCCCCAGGAATCTTACTTCCATTTGTATATCATCTTTTATTTTTGTTAGGTTGAAACTCCATTGGAAGAAGCTATAAAATTTTTAACACCGTTGAAGAACTTGGTGAAGAACAAGATAGAAACTCATCTTTTTGCCTTTGAGATTTACTTTAGGAAAGGTAGGCAATTAGGGTCCAGTGGCACTGATAAAATGGATCACTATTATTTCCTAGGTAGAATTGTGTACCTCTAATAGTCTCATCGCTGTAGGGTTTATTTTGGCAAATGCCAGTGCAGGTTCTGCATAGAAATGCCTGCCTGCTGTATATAAGATATTATAGTGACAGTGATGCAGGACATTAAAACCCTAACCCACCTACTGTACATGATACCCAGGGTTAAGGCCAATATGGTCATTTTATGGTAATAAAATTATTTTTGTGCCTGGCACTAATAAGCTTCAAATAAATGTTGGCTGTGTTACTAGCTATTTTCATACATAGAAGACATAATCTTAGGAATAGATATTTAAAGATGTGTTATGTTGCTGAAGGAAAATATTCATAGGAGGGGAGTGTCCATCAAGAAGAGTGTAAATAATAGTGATGTTGTGTGTATTACCTGGAAGCAGGTAAAAGATAAGGGAAGGATCTTGGTTTTTAGGTTTAGAATGCTTGGGATGTGTACAGTAGGTAAGATTTTATAGTATTGATTTGATGTAACCCTTCATTTTATTGAAAGAAAATTAATGATATTAATTGAAGGGAAGTTACTTCAGTCCTGTGTTACAATTCAGGTGTGATTAAGCCTAAGTTCACTTTTTTCTATTTGCAAAGTCTTGACCCTCCAAGGGAGGGCAACTTACTTTATCAAATGAACAAAATATATCTTTTTCTTTTTATAGAAAAATTTCTTTTGATGCTACAATCAGTAAAGAGGGCATTTGCTATTGATTCTAGTCATCCCTGGCTTCATGAGTGTATGATTCGACTCTTTAGTACTGGTAGGTTTTATGTTTTCCATTCCTCAAGTATTTCATTGTACTAGTTGATAGAGCTTATGTAAGTAATCTGTACAATTTTCCTTGAACTTGGTCATGTTAAAGCTGATACATATTAAATTAATGGAGGGAAAATAAGAGCTCTTTCCTTTGTGAGGAAGGTTTTTATTTTAAGGCTATAAATGTTGACTTGATTTTGACAGAATTGTTTAGTCCAGGTGTTTAAGAATCACCTTTGGTTCTATTTTTGAAAATTTATGTGTAAGTTGAAGTTTTGAGTCTATGTCATTATGTGAAGCTTCTAAGGAAATTGTTTTAAAATTAAAGGATCTCTTTGAAATTGACACCTTTTCTTGTATTTATGTGTTGTAGATCTCAGTTTACATGGACTAGGCTTTCTTGGCACAATCCTTTAAGAATCATAAAACTTTCTGTTATTTTATAAGTCATGTGTGCTTTTCAGATATTCTGACAGATTAGTACATTAGTTTTAATGTGAAGTAGAACTATGGAATTTTAAAAGTAGTTTTTTTTTCTAGTTATCTCTCATTTTAAAGTTGTGAAATTTGGGACCCTTAAAGACTGTAAACTACTTATTCTAGGTAACAGATATTTAGTAATGAAACAAAGACTAGAGCCCAGGACTTCATATTGTTCTTTCTACTGCAGGTTAAGTATCCGTTATCTCCCTTATCTGAAATGTTTGGGACTAGAAGTGTTTCAGATTTTGGATTCTGTGTGTGTGTATGGGGGAGGGTGTTTGCATGTACACAATGAGATATCTTGGGAATGGGCCCAAGTGTAAGCATGAAATTCATTGTGTGTTTCATGTACACTTCATACACATAGCCTTAAAGTAGTTTTAAACAGTATTTTTAGTGTGCTTAATGTCATGATGGCCTATCAGGTGAAAAAATGTATAGAATTTTCCACTTCTGGTATTTAAAAAGCTCAGAAAGTTTTGGATTTTGGAACACTTTAAATTTCATGTTGGGAGGATTGATCTCTATAACATCAATCTACAGAATTTGGAAATAATATTAAACTAACTGTAAAAATAAAAATTTCCAGTGTATTAATATGACCACATTGTGAGGCCCTATAGCTCAGGGCTTAGAGTACTGGTCTTGTAATATGACCACATTGTAGAAAGAAGAAATCCCATACTCATGATAATACTAATAAAGAATTTTGTTTCTTTTTAGTTGTTTTCTGTGTATTAAAATTTTTTTGAAATTGAGTCAGAAAAGACTCAGATAATAGTTTTAATTATTAGTCATAATAGGATGGAAGTCCTATGAGATTAGAACTTTTTTTTATATTTTGGTAAACAGGGTCTTACTGTGTATTCCAGGCTGGCCTCTAGTTACTAGCATCCTCTGCCTATTCTTCCTGAGTGCTAAGATTATAAGTGCACCACCATGCCCAGCCTGGAAAATGCTTTTTGAAATAATTAAAAGTTAAATATTATAAGCCAGCGGTGGTGGGACATGCCTGACCCTTATCACTCTGGGAGGCTGAGACAGGACGAACAAAAGTTAAAGTTCTGCCTGAGCAGCACAGTGACTTGGTGAGACTCTCAAAATAAAAAATAGTAGAAGGACCAAGGATGGAGCTTGGTGTGAAGGCTTTTGGTTCAGTCTTCAATAGTGCAAAAAGAGGGAAGAGTTTTTGAAACTACAGATAAAAATAGGGGCATCTTTATTTTATTTATTTTTTTTTTTTTTGGTGCCAGGAATTGAACACAGGACCTTGTGCTTGCCAGGCAGACACTGTGCCACTGAGCTGTATCCCCGGCAGGGGCATCTTTATTGTTCCCCAGGCGTTTCTTTAACAAATACATTTGGCACTTAATAATTTTTAAGTCATTAAATCATTACTACTTAAGCTACATTAAATCATTACTACTTACTTTTTTTCTCATCTTTTAAAAATTTTTTTATTTTAAAGAGATTAAAAAAACAATAAAATAACAGCATACACCACAGTCATTAATCTTAGGCAAAATAGGAACATTTTCTACCAAATTATTACCAGTGTCAGCTGTCCTGAGACCCCAGGGTGACTCCTAGCTAGGGCCCCTTTCAGTACCTTTTGTAACCACTAATGAGTACTGAATCTGTCTGCTGATAAGTTAATAGAGTACACTAAATGTTTCAGTTTTAGAATTTCTGAGGACCCAAGTCAAAAGCTGCTTTTAAAAGTTTTTATTTTTCAGCTAGACAGGTGGTTCATACCTGTAATTTCAGCACTAGTGAGGCTGGGGCAGGAGGATTGCTGTAAGTTTGAGACTATAATAAACTCAAGGACAGCTGACCTGCATAGTAAGACTGTCTCAAGAAACAAAGCCAAAAGAAATTTTTTTTTTTGTACTCGGTATTGAACTTGGGACCTGCTTGCCAAGCAGGTGCTTATGCCACTAATGAGCTATATCCCCAGCCCCAAAGCAAAAAAAATTTTCTCCCAGTCCTTCATCAATTACCACTCTCTTGCTTCGGGAGATAATTGTTCCATATGAAAGGTAATTAAATAATATGGAAATTTTGCTTTCCTAAAACCTCGGTAGGTTTTGTTAATTCTATCATTTTCAGAGGCTTCCTAGATAGATTTTTATTTTTCTGCCAACTAGTTTTCAACAGTAGTTGGTCATAAATCTGTGGCATTTGGGATCGCTCCTTTTTTGAAGCTAACAGTCAAATTTCATTATTTATAATGCCAAAGGACATGTTAATGTTTATTGCAGTGGCCCTTGAGCAGGGACTGTTGATGTCATCCTGGGAGTTACACAGAAAATCTACATAACTTAAAATGAGTGGGCTTCAGTCAGCTGCAGTGGCACAAGCCTGTAATCCCAGCACTAAGGAAGGGGGAGACAGTAGGGTCTCAAGTTCGAGCCCTGCCTGGGAAATTTAGCAAGACCCTCTCTCATAAACAGGAAATAAAAGGGGATTGGTTTGTAGCTTAGTGCAGCAGGCCTGGGTTCACATCTGCCAAAAAGTTGAGGGGAGCTTCTGACTTCTTGTAAAATTACTGAATGAGTTTTTTTGGAAATAGTTTTGCAGACAGTTGTTAGTAAAGTTGGGAGACATACACATGGATGTGCATGTGTAGATTTGTTTTTACTTTTGTGAGTTTTGTTGTTAGCCGCTTCAGATTTCTAGAGAGATTATTTAATTGGAGGAAAATAAGTTAATGAAGATAATGAAAACCATAAATGGTCCTCCAGCCATCAAGGGATGTCTCTGCAGTTACTTTGGTACCTACATAGGGTCCCAGAAGCATTTTGGGCACCCCGACGAGATCGGAGGAAGTCACTTTCTGTGTTATAGAAAATCTGTGAATTTTGAGACAGTGTTTATTGTCTCAGTTACAATTGTAATTGGCCATAATTTAACAGCTTTTCTTCCAGTATTCTCTCCTACTTCTGTGAAAAACAAGTATGGATAATTTACCAAAGGTGCCACTACAGCCATAATTGTGTATGGTAACCCATACACAACAGGGTTGGAATTCATATGTCTCACTGCCAGGTGGCTTGAACCACTGACAGGACATACATGACTGTTTTTTTTTACTAATTTTATTAGTAAAACAACATATAAAAGTGATTAGATCTGTTTGTACAGTGGTACAAGGCTCCCAATGGGCCAGTCATGCATGTGCCAATGGGAACTGTTAAATTCTTTACCTATTATCTCATCTATTTGAGTCATTCATTTCTACAGGATAATAGAAAAAGTGTTTGCTAACCAACAGAAGGCATATCAATGAATTACCCCATTAATAGTAACATGTAGAATATTTTGTCTATTTACTACTCAGAATTCAGTGTTTTTTAAAAGTAAGGTCGTGATTCACTAGTGGGATAATGGTATCAGTTATTAATGGTCATTACTAGCATTTGAAAAATCTCAACTGCAAACAGAACTATGTAGAATATATCAGCTTGTGTTGCATAAAGTATGAATATGAGATGATACATACTTGTCACAATATCAGTTTTGGGGGGAGGGTGGTTTCCGGTATCAGGAATTGAACTCATGACCTCCTGCTTGCCAGGCACGCGCTGTGCTGCTGAGCTAAACCCCCAGCCCACGATATCAATTCTTAATTGCAGTCAAAATTTGAAAGCCACTATTATTTTCTTAACTACAGGAAAATATTACTGGTTTCAAAATATAACAAAAATAGTAACCGGTTGTGGTGGCACACACCTGTAATCCCAGCACTCAGGAGGCTGAGGCGGGAGCATCATTGCAAGTTTGAGACCAGCCTGGGCTACAAAGTGAGCTCAAGGCCAGCCTGAACTGCATAGTGAGACCCTGTCTCAGAAAGCCCCCCCCTCCAAAAAATATATATATAAAATATTAAGTGCAGTTGACCGAATATCTCTAACATAATTAGCACTTCACACAATAGCTTTTCCTTACTCCAGTCCTAGATACAGCCATCACCCCATCTTAGAGACCAAGAAATAGGTTCAGGGACGTATGACTTCTTCAAGCCCAGATCCACACTCAGGTCTGTCTGGATCCAAAACTCCAGATAGTCTGTACATACCATAGAACAGTGAAACAAGGCATAACTTGGATTCAGTCCAGAGGGATTGGGGTCTATTTTTTCTTCTCCAAATCCCAAGGCCTGGGAATATGATGACTGCAGTGTATTTATTACAGGAAAATGCTTTGGTGGTCCTTTGGAGTTTATTATAAGATAAATAGCTCAATTCACATAGTTCCTGAAGATAAAGGTCAGTGAAGTCAACCATGTTTTTATTTTTGTTTTAATTGATTAATGTACCTTACTTGGGTATAGAGAAGGATGGAGATGATAAGGAAAATGTCTTCAGCACTATGTATTTACCAGACAGATGTTGTCAGCCCCCGCTTCACAGACCTTACAGTTGAGGTGGGGGGCGCCCTAGAGGCTTAGAAAGCTGTGGAATTACTTCTTTCTGTTTTTTTTTTTTTTTTTTGTAGTTCCTGTACTTTCTGGAAATGAATCATCTGTCAATGAAACTTTTTCAGTGCTTTAAAAAAAAAAATCATTAAATAGTTCTTGTGACACATACTCTTCTAATTTTTATTAGGTAGGCTCTTTAAGTGTTATCAGTACAGGTTATTTGGTTTTTGTATATAATTGCTGTGTTTCATTGTCCTCATCAAGTAGATAATTTGACTACGACAGACTTTATCTGACTGCTAAGTGCTTTTATTTTTAATTTATTCAGCAGTGAGTGAAAGTAAAGACTTATCCGATACAGTTAGAACAGTATTAAAACAAGAAATGAGTCGTCTTTTTGGAGCAACGAATCCAAAGAATTTTAATGAAACTTTCCTGAAAAGGAATTCTGATTCATTGCCACATCGATTATCAGGTAACCACTTTACATCTGTCTTCTGGTAGCCTTCTCAGCCTCAGTTATTAGTGGGCACATGACAAGATACCGCACGGGGTAGTTTAGAAGAGCTAATACGCGTGTTACATCTGAAGCTTATAAAAATAAGCAGTTTAAAATGCTTTGTGTATATTTTAGAGTTTCTTTAGACAAAGTCATTAGTATCAGTCAAGATCAGTCCTTTCTCCTCGTTCAGCACTGGCATTACAAAGAGGTAAATGTAAGTGAACAAAGGAGGTGGAGCTTGGTCTCATTCTTTTCTCCTTTTGCTTGTGAAATTCACTCCATGTGACCATCATCTTCCGTTTCTCATGGTTATGTAGCTGTCACTCTTGGCAGTGCTAAAGGCCTGAAACTGTCTCATGGTTCACTGGAAGTCCAAGGCAGGGGTCCATGCCCAGGAGCCAGAGTCTGTCCTTTGTGGGACCATGTGTGGTACTTTAGTAGTGATGCGCTTGGCTAAGACCCTGTAGCTGTGTTTGCCCTCGTACCATCAAGGTTGTGTACTTCCCTCCTCATTGCCCTCTTTCCCCTCGGGCATTTAATGAGGTTTCCTCACCACCCAATTATTATGTTTATTTTAGAAAGAAAACTATCCATGGTCCTACCACGGAAAGACAAGTATTACTAGACTGTGCGCTTCCTTTTCTTTTGAGACAGGGTCTCGTTCTGTAGCCCAGGCTGGCCTCAAACTCAGCGATCCTCCTACCTTAGCCTCCGCAGTGCTGGAATTGCAGGTGTGCGCCACCATGCCCAGGGACTGTGTGCTTTCATCTCTTAGAGAGTGTACATTTTACCAATTCCTCACATTTTGTTACCAGTAGATGTACATAATAATGTGCCATAATCTGTTCTCCTACTTTGGACAGTTGCAGTATTTGTCAGGCTTTTTATTTACATGTATTTATTTACGTTTTAGATAACAGTGTCTTCAGTGGCTCCTCTTTTCCATGATAAAGGGCAACATTTTGTGTGCTCATAGCTTGCATTTTATATTTGAATGAGTAGAGGGTTAGATACTGGGTTTACTTAAAATAAAACTGATTTCCTTTCTTCCTCTTATTCAGCTGCCAAAATGGTATATTATTTAGATCCTTCTAGTCAGAAACGAGCTATAGAGTTGGCAACAACACTTGACGAGTCCCTCATTAACAGAAACCTCCAGGTAAAAGTTTTCAACAATCTCTCCATAAGAAACCTAACTACTTTCTCTCTTTTCACCATGAGGAATACTTGTTCTTTGTATCTATGCGTACTGTTTTCCAAGTCATGAATCTGTCAGAAGCTACTCGTAGATTCATTGATGACTGTATATCCGTGGGGGTGCATGTGCATACCAGGCTGCTTGGCACTTAGTAACTGGATCCACACCTGTAACTTGGAGTGACTTTTTAGAAATATATTTTAGTGCCGGGCGTGGTGGCTGCACACCTGTAATCCCAGCACTTGGGAGGTTGAGGCAGGAGGATGGCTGGGAGTTCAAGGCCACTCTGAACTACACAGTGAGGCCCTGTCTCAAAAAAATAAATATGTTTTAGTAAAATTATATAAACTCTACAGTTATTTTGGGATTTTAATGCATATCTGTTCATTTCTGCACAAGCAGTTGTCTCAGTGAAGATTGTTAAGTGAGCCTATTAAAAACGTAAACATAAAATATATGACCATGTGGCAGTTGTTTACTCTAGTTTGAAAATGAAGTATAGTTATACTTCATTGTAATAATGTACTTGCTTAAAGATAGTTTGATATAGTCATTTAATAGTAAATGAAGGGGCCGGGGCTATAGCTCAGCGGCACAGTGCCTGCCTGGTAGGAAGCGCAAACTCTTGAGATCGATTCTTGCTACCAAAAAAAAAAGTAAATCCAGGCAGCAACTTTAAGAAAGAAAAATTGGACCAGTTGGATGATGATTATTGTACCATTTAGTTTAGGAATTATATCTAATTTCTGCAAGCTAGCGTGTTATAAGGCATTATGTATCTACAAAGTAAGTAGTATTTTCTCACTGAAAAGAGTTAAAGAAAAAAAAACTCAAAAAATACAAGTCAACCTGAATTGTTTAAAAATACAACAAATCGCTGGGTGTGTTGGCTCATGCCTATAACCCTAGTACTCAGGAGGCTGAGACAGGACAATTGTTGTGAGTTGGGAGACCAGCCTGGGCTACAAAGTGGGCTCAAGGTCAGCTTGAACTGCACAGCAAAACCCTGTCTCAAAAAGACTACCAAGAGGGGCTGGGGATTTTTTAGTTCAGCAGCACAGCACCTGCCTGGCAAGCGCAAGGTTGTGAGTTTGGTTCCCAGTACCGGAAACCCGCCCCCGCAAAAAAAAAGACCACCAAACAAAAAATCCCACAAATGTAAGGAATACAGGTTTAATCCCTAGGATGGTGCTCTCTGTATTTAAAATATAAGAATCAGGGGGCTGGGGATTTAGCTCAGCGGCACACCACCTGCCTGGCAAGCACAAGGTCGTGAGTTCAATTCCCAGTACCGGGAAAAAAAACACAAAATAAATAAATAAAATATAAGAATCAGACTTACTTGGGGAGTTATTGAGTCATTGATTTTTTTATAAACTTTTTTTTTTTTTTTTTTTTTTGTGGTTCTATTGTTTGAACCCAGGGCTAAGCAAGCAGCTTACCACTGAACACATCCTCAACCCATTTTGTCCTTGGGTATAATCACTATACTTGGAACATTTTTCTTCCTAGTTGTTGATATTCCTTAAGATACTCCATAATTTTATTACAATGCTGAATAACTGTTTGATTTTGCTGGGTAACGTTAAGCCTCCAAAACTTAAACCATCTACATGTGATAACTGGCAATATAAAATTTGGCATGTACATACAGTGCCAGGCTGCTGCTCAGGGAGCAGGAAGAAATGTTTTTGTTTTCCTGCGTATTGTATGTCCATTTCTTACATTGGAAATGGGTCACTGTTGAAGTCCATAGTAAAACCTCTTCTTAAGTTATAACATGCTCTTTTTTCTTCCTTCAGACTTGTATGGAGGTATTAGAAGCCTTGTGTGATGGTAGCCTAGGAGACTGTAAAGAATCTGCTGAAGCTTATAGAGCAAATTGTCATAAGCTTTTCCCTTATGCTTTGGCTTTCATGCCTCCTGGATATGAAGAGGATATGAAGATCACAGTTAATGGAGATAGTTCTGCAGAAACTGAAGAACTGGCCAATGAAATTTGAACATCAGTAAACAAGCAAATGGAATGACTTTGGACCATATCTAGTGTATAATATTTTTGTCACGCACCTGCTGCATTGCTCTAACTTACACAGAATGAGAGGAGTAAATGTTCTTGCCTTCAAATAGTGTTTTACGTTTTTTATCCTGCTGAAAAAGTATATATAAAATATCTAACATTACAGGATATAGGTTCAGTTTCTTAAAAAATTAAAAGCTGCTAAAATTGAGGGGTTAAAAAAGATACCTTGTCCTATTCCTACCTACCCACCCATGTTTTTAAACTAATTTATATACAATCTGGAGGCTGTTACAGCTAACAAAGCAGGTGTGTGGCAGAAATATTACCTTAAATTTGTCTTGTGAGATTTTACTATATCTCAGACAGCATACATGCTGTTTTAGCACTGGATTCTTTCACTGAGCACAAAGAGTTGTTGGGGCTTTAGCATCTGACTGATTTTGTTACGGGGTTGATTCTGACCATAGGAAGTATGCAATGTGAATCACTATTTACAGAAAATCTACAACAGATGCTTGATGTTGTAGAAACTGGGACATGTAGATACCAAGCAGGATTATAAGAAACCTAGAAGGTGTTCAGTACGCTTGTTGTGTTTCCAAAATTTACTGTACATGATCAGTTCGGTGTTCTTGTACCACAGTTTTTAACTGAAGGAACCAGTTGGAACAATCTCAATTTTAACTAAAACTTGAAGAACTAAAATAACAATGCAAACCTTTCAGCATTGTTTTGGCCAAACTTGTTAAAACTGTAATGCAAGAACCAAATGCACTGTGATGTGGCACCAACTAATTAGCAAGCATGAATTTTTTCACCCAAGAGTGAAAAAAAGGAAAAACCTACCATGGCTTGAACTTTAAGAGCAGAACTCCTGACTACCATTCTATGACTGATCAAGAGACTAATAGTTTAAAACCTCAGCAGGCCTTGTTCATGATATGCAGAAAAAAAAAGTGCTGCAGTTTAGATACCTCTGGAATTTTTCCACAGTGTCACAGGTTTGTAATACTTGAAGCCCTACATTTCTAAGAATATATTTCTTGCTCAGTTGTTTCAGGCAAGCCCAAGACTTTGTAATTTTTAAAGGGCCCAAGATTTTTTTTTTCCAATAACAGACCAGCTTCTTTTTCCTGCAGTTACAGATGTAATTTCTTTTTTGTTGTCAAACATAAGGTACCAAATATGATGCAATAAATTGTTTTGAAAAACACTTGTGTGAATATTTCCACTAATCTGTGTTGGGCTTCTATGAAAATACACAGGTGGAAACAGAGGTGCAAGCCAGAGGCAAAGTAGTGTACTGTGAGGCCAGTACAGAGGGGAGCTCTTTGGAGTGTGCCAACTGCTGGTGTCAGTGAGGTTCCGTAGTGAAGTAGGGTGCTGCTCCTGCGTTACAATTTCATTGAGGCCTAGAATGGTGGCAGGTACTATGAATGTAATTCATAATCTGAAAGGAGAACCAGAAACTGCTAATTTGATTGGGAAAATGAGCCTTAAACCTGTCAAACCTGTACGCTGAGAACTAGCCTCAGGCTCAATATTCTCATTGCATTTGCAAGATCTGAGCAAATAAGATTATGTAAAATGAATCAGTTGTATATATAATTGAGCTTTTTGTAGTCCTTTTAGTTTATAGAGAATGTACTCTAAAGGGAATTTTCAGAAGACCCGGTCATTTTATTGATTCTTTCATAGTACATGACCTGCATTCCACATCCCAGTCTAACACGTAGTGACGTACAGAGAAGTACAAACTGAACTCCAGTGCTCTGTTTTATTTTATTAACTGGCCCTGTCTCAGGAACATCTTAACAGATGGAAAAAAAAAAAAAGAAGAGAAAAAGAAAACCTTTGTTTTTTTACTTCTCCTGTGAGTGGCAACTGAAGTTCTTATTGTTGGGAAAGAACACTAGTGCTACCTCTGCCACGAATGAGGTGTTCGGAGGAGGCACCAGCCATATAACGGAGTGTATGTGTGAATTTTGTTTAAACTCTACTGTATATTGAAATGAAATTCATCTATCTGTCTTGACTGTTCAAATGATGTAGATTGTCTTAGAATGAATATTCAGAAATACTCAGAACTCTAAATGCAGATGCCACCCTTGAGGAGCTAAATTCCTTACATGTATATTGTATTCCAACCCAATTTTACTGGAACTATTGAATAAATCTTTTATTTTCTTTCAGGTTTACTTGATAGTGGATACGTTGTCTGGTGTCAGAGGACCTTGGCTGGGTTCATTTTATGTCCAGACATCACCCCTAAAGCATTGTACTGTACCATCTTGCTCTGAGTAGTATTAACTGGATCATCTCACATTTGCTTCATCCATTCTATTAATTTCAAATGATACTGTGGGGGGAAAACAGGGTCAGAAAAAACAAGTGGGGAAAAAAATGCAGTGATGTAATTGAAACAAGTGCCTTATGTTTATCGCTAAGAACTGGTGTTATCAACCCTTCTGATAAGAAAGGGTCCCTTGACCTGTATTAACATAGGAAAGTAAAGTTCTTTTTGTTTTTCTTTATATTCAGTTACTCTTGTCATTTCTCATTGAAAACCTAAACCTGACTAGGTTAGTTTACTCAGCTTTAATTAGATAGTGAAGTCATACGTTTTCACCATTTTTCTGTATCTATTTATTATGCACAACAATAAAGTGTGATCTATAATAGCATGACTGAAAGTAGTGCCGATGTTAGTGAAGAGCTTTTCCGTGGGCTTTATGAGGCCCTTGTCTTTCACAGTGTTTGTCCTTGACGGTATGTTGCTCTTACAGCTGTGAAATGGAAGCTGTGACTATATGAAGAGGTCAGAAAAGCACAGTCCAAATTCAGGTAGGTTCTGATAAATTCAGGGAGACCTCTCTTCTGTACAATGTCTAGGAATATTTCAGTTACCATATGTAGCATTTGTTCGGGAAAAGCTAAACAGTGAAGTGTTGGACAAGACCAGTATATACTTACCTTACTGCCAGCCTAGAATTCTGAAACCAGTAAGAGAGGTCAAGGTAAGACTGGTATTTCCCGTGAAAGGCAGTCTTCCAGTTCTAGTTCATGTCTGCTTTTTTAAGTCAGAGACTTCTTGATACCATTCTGGTGTCATCTAAACTTTGCTGACCCCCTGATAAATCTGAATAAAACGATGTCCCAGGACATGGCTGTGTTGTACTGCAGAGAGCAGAAACATTAAGTTTTCTTTGAATTTCATGGTTGAAAGGTCTTAACCTGTAGCAATAAAACACTTTTCAAAAAGGTGATTATTGAATTGCATTTTTAACCTTTGAGTATGCACCTTAGGAGGTGGGTATTGAGGTGAAAGTGTTGGTAGTGTGCAGGAGGCTCTGGAGAAAGAGCGCTCCATTTCCCAGTGAGGAGACTTTCGTGGACTGTGGGGTTTCTGTAGTGAAACTCTGAAGCTTAGCTTCCGTCGGGACATACCCCTCACTGAGCATGTGCAGAGGACGAAGGAGTGAGGGTCTCGGTTTCCAGCCTGCCGGTGTACCCAGTGTCTTTGAAGTTCTGTCACTTTGGAACTATAGGGAGAAAAGGGCGGTGGGGCGGGGGGACCTGGTACTTAACCTGCGTTACACCTTCTCACTTTCCAGTTAGAGACAAGCTTGAAAGTTTAATCTTCAGTGCTCTTTATAGAATTCTCTGTGCCAAAAACAGTATAGACTTTGTTTCAAGGTTGCCTGTACCAAAGTTGCTACTTGGCAATCTAATAAAACCGTATTGTAGTCTGTAACATTTTAAGAATCAGACCTTTGTCCCTACTTAAGGATCTGCATTACTTCATACAAGTGGATAATTCTTTCTAACTGAAAAAATAATGATAAATATATGCTGGAAATTTTTCTATCTGTGATACAAAGATTTCTGCTGTTGCTAAATCTTCAACATGGCCTCAAGTACAGATTATCTTTTCATTTTGAAATAACATAGGAAGCGAAGAGGTTTTTGGACTATGTTCTGGATTCCATGGCTTGCTCTTAACTAATAAAAGGTTTACCTTCTGTATTTAGTTACTTGTGCACTGTCTGTCAAGTAAGAAGTCTCTAACAATTCTAGACTATCTTCCCAATCTACCATGGTTTCCTAACTTTTGGGCTTTTTTAAATTTGCCACATTTACGTTTATGTGCAAGTTTATTAAGGGCAAGGCCAGGCATGGTGACGCACGCTTGTAATCCCAGCACTCGGGAGGCTGAAGCAGGAGGATTGTTGTGAGTTTGAGACCAGCCTGGGCTACAAAGTGAGCTCAAGGCCAGCCTGAACTGCATAGTGAGACCCTGTCTCAAAAAGGGGAAAAAAAAAAAGTTATTAAGTCCATCTTATGCTTAATGTCCAAGCCCAAATGAATAAAATATTCCTCCACCATTGTTTCTTTATTAGTAAGTCATTAAGTTAGCTACCACCTTGCATCATTCTGTATGAACCACTTCTTGCCTGCAAGTAGACATACTGCTGCTCGATACCTTTAAAAATGAAGAGAACGATTGGTAAGGAAGTAGGTAATCTGTCTCCTTGATTCTTCTCTTCGCTGCTTTAAGTTCTCAACTCTGGAATACTAAAGACTAATTCTTCCCTTCATTAACAAATTTAGTAATAGAAGTACTCAGAAGCATGTGTTTAGCTAGCATTAGTGTACAGTTCACTTTGTTCAGAAGTTCATTAAAACGGACCTGAGAAATGGTACAAACACTCCTGTAGCCACAGTTACTCGGGCCGAGGCAGAAGTGTCACAAGTTTGAGCCCAGCCTGAGCAACCCAGTGAAACCCTGCCTCAAAGTAAAAATCAAATGGGAGGAAATACAGTACAGTGCAAAGGCCCTGGGTTCAGTCTTCAGTCCTAGGGTTTGAGGGTGGGGGTGGGGAGCTAAGAATATACAAACTGCTTCACTTGAAACTTTTTCTAGTTGGAAATGTTCTAAAGGGCCTACTTATTTCAAACATTCCATTAACATACCATTTTTTACAGTAATGTCCAATTATATGACTTTTTCAAAGATAGTCTTTATTTCTCCTTTTCTAAAAACATTTATTTATTTATCATTATTATTATTGGCTTTTTTTTAATGTACGTGGTGCTGGGGATTGAACCCAGGGCCTTGTGCATGCAAGGTGAGAGCTCTACACATCCCCAGCTCAAGGACTTTTTTGTTTTCTTTTTTTAGTTTCATTCTCCCTTTTTTTGATACCAGAAATTGAACTCAGGACCTCGTGCTTGGCAGGCAAGCACTTGTGCCCCTGAGCTGTATTCCCAGCCTATATGACGTTAAATGCTTCACCTCAGACTCACGTGAATCCATTTTTAACATGTGAAATCTTAAGGATTTACTCTGGGTACAGTTGGTACAAAGGCATATACTAGGTTAGTGCAGAATTTGCTATGAATATTATTACTCTAGATTGTAGGAAATACAATAAAGTACTATTTTCACATCACCTGCAATGTCTCACAAATTTTTATTCTTTATCTGTAGTTGATGTAGAGTATTACCATTAATTGTCCCTCTTTGTTGGTTTTAACAAATTTCCTCAAAATACCGCGGACCCATTTTCTTTTACTTAAGGATATATTCCTCACGTAATTTTTGTTCTTTCCCTGTAGCTTGTCAGAGCAGTGATTGTGACTGGCTGTGTAGGAAGCAGATGCCTGGAGGACCATTCTCTGATTTTCTCAGTTGTCTGTTCATTGTGGCATTGGTTGGCAGTGAGTCTCCTCATCCTTCATGTGTTTAGCAGCCAGCCCCCCAGGTAATGCCATGCCCACTGGGATTATTACTCAGTTTTGAATAGGAGGGCACTGGTAATGCACACAACCTGCCCAGAAATGTTCCTTTGTTTTTATGGCCTGGTGTCTGCTTTCTCTCATTACAAGGAAACATACATGAAGAGGGATCTGCAGATCTTTTATCTGAACACTTACAGCCAGTGTCTTCTCAACCAGTAGCTGTGCTCTATTTGGGATGGACAGTTGAGTGAATCCTTTATATCGTAAACAAACGCAGGTTGTGTGTTAGAATCTTACAGGGATTGTGCAAGCAACCTCGCTGCTCATGCCCACTAGCAAAGACAGTACTGGGCATTGGCCTGCCTGCCTGCCTGGCGTTTGTTTCTGGTAATTCTAAGGTTGACCCAAAGTTGAGAACCACTCTTGATGAGAAAGTTAAAAATATTCTATAGTATTGTTTTTTTCCTGAAAGAGATCAGAAGGCAAGTAACTATGGATGTGCAGAAAGATTAACTTGGGCTTGTCTTAAGTGGGAAAACCCAGATTTGAAACTTCTGTCAGGAGCTTTCGGGATGGTTTGAGGCCATGCTTTTCGGTACTGAAGTCATGCTGTTACCGTACTACCTGAGATAGATAGTACCAGGGCAAAAAAAAACACCTCTCAGTTTTGTTAGGTACTGTGGTAACTTAATTCCACTGAAATAACTTTTAAATATAACTCCCATAGAGGACTGAGTTAAGTGGGTCAGTACCCGAGTGGAAGAGCATTAGTAGGCCTTTAAACAAAGGTACATATGTTACATCATGAAAATAAATAGAATCAAATACCTGCTTGTTATCCCCACAGGACTGTATTGTCTATAAACAAAGGAATCACTGTTCGAAATCTTAGTTGTGAAAAGAACCGTGATGCGAGGACAGATTAACTCAAACTGAGAGTTTTGCCAGGTAGAATAGAGCTAGAAAGTAGATTGATCCGCCACAGACTTGTGTATGAAGTGAAGCCTACCTGTAGTGAGGATGGTGGCACACACCTGTAGTCCTCATACTCTGGGAAGCTGAGCAGGAGCCCATCCTGGGTAATTTAGTGGCAACTTAATGCGACCCTGTCTCAAAAAGGACTGGGGATGGAGCTCAATGTGAAGGCCCTGGGTTCAGTCACCAGTACTACAAAAAACAGAACAAAAAAATCTCCCTTTGAAGCAACATCCTCAACTCCAGGCAGGGTGGCACATGCCTGTAATCCCAGCATTTGGGAAGCTGAGGCAGGAGGATTGTTGGAAGATCTGAGGCCAGCATGGGCTGTAAAGTGAGCTCAAGTTCAGCCTGAACTGCATAGCGAGACTTTGTCTCAAAAAGACTAAACAAACAAACAAACAAACAACATTCTGGGTAGGACTCAAAATCTATCCAATTTAGTACTTTTCTTCAGGAAAATGGAGATAGCTTTGTAGGCCCACCATTAATTTTGTCTACTTTGTTTTCTAATGGTTAAAGACTGATAAATGAGTGTAGATGATTCCATATGGTTCATTACCATTGTTAAATTTATAGGCACGCTCTTCACCCTTGCTAGGTGGGAAGTCTGATTTTTGAGTCTGTGTATACCTAGACGTCTTCCCTCAAAGCTTTGTGATTTTCTTTGATCCTATGACTTAACTGCTAAGTTTCTGATGTAAATACTTTGTAGTTTGGTTAACAGTAGTATAATACAGTTAAAAACAATCTTTTAGGTCAGACAGTTACATGTATATAAGTTAATATTCTGGCTCAAGTCTCAGACAAAATAGTGGAGTTTCTAGATGAAGCAGTTGTTGGAAGGGTTAACATAAAGTGATCATAGTAAGGCCTGAATAAGCAGTAAGCATTTATTTTTTGTGATACTGGAGATGGAACCCAGGGCCTTTGCACTGAGCTTTTATTCTTTTGATACCGTATCTCACTAAGTTGCCCAGGTGAAACTCAAACATAAAGTCTTCCTTCCTGTTTCCCAAAGGCAGGGATTACAGGCTTGTGTCACTGTACCCAGCTGTAAACATCTGTTTTAAATCTTAATATTTATAAATTTATTTTTGTCAGTATTGTCTTGCCAGATTGATTATCCTTATTATTTGTCTACTGAAGTAGATTGTGCCAGTGTTTCAGGAAATAGCTTACATTCCTTTTCTGGATTTCCTTTTTTTTTTTTTTTTTTTTTTTGAGACAGGGTCTCACTATGTAGTTCTGGCTAGCGCTGGACTCACTATATAGCCCAGGGTGGCCTTGAATTTGCAGTGATCCTCTTACCTCAGTGTCTCACGTGCTGGGGTTACAGGTGTGCACCTCCATGCCCTGTTGCTTTCCTAGATATTAACAGCTCAAATTACAACTTTTTTTTTTTGTACTTGCTATTTACACTATTTTGCCTTATCACATACTAGAGAAAATCTCTACACCATGACAGTTTTGACATTTGTGGAAACCCTTAGATGTATTAGCAAACCTGACTGATTTCATGATGCTGCAGTTTAAAATTACCGAAGAG